CTCGCTAAACTTCTCACAGTAAATGTTCTATAATCTGTTCTCGAAACAAATTAAACCTTAAGTAATTGATTTTGGATAAATATCCGATTTTGTTTAACTTTAAAAACTACTCGTCATTTTGTAATTTTAGTGAAGGTTAAGAATTGCCCATGCTAACTTGGATTATAATTTTAAAATACTTTTAGTATTGAACTATTAAGAAGTGAATTATGTTTGATGGATGGTTAAGAAGCTATTGTGGTGGCCTTAAGTCCGGTGAGTCCGGGAGACAAGGAGGTTATTAAGCCTCACTGAAGCAGTATATTAAGCTTGCTTTTCAGCTTTCACCGTTGAAAATTGTTGTTTTTCTGGCAGAGAGGACGCAATATGTCTTTATTTTTCCGAATGTTACCGTTCAAGATGCATTTACATACAAATAATTGCTGCTAGTAAAGAATAAATGATCTGATCAACGAATTTTGCAAAATCTTTTTAAGACAATGAAGGGCTTTACGCCGGAAAATGTACAATTTTTAAGTAACTGAAGTCGGTGAAGCACCGTTGAGCGCCCCGCTGGGCTCCGTGGACAACCCGAGCTGTTTAAAGCAGCGGCCGGCCTTCCCCAACCCGTTCTCGCATACAAAGATATGCGAATATTCCGGATATGTTAGAACGTCAGCAGTTGAGTCGTGTGTAAACCGCTTTTCATTCATAAACAGGGGGTTTGGCGGGTGCATGGAATCACTTTTGGATCTTTGTTTGGAGGACGGGCTGATTTATAACATTATGGTTCGAATGGAGGACGTGAACACTTGTTCCGGAAGTGTTCGGACGTCATCAGTTGAGTCTTGTGTAAACCGCTTTTCATTCATAAACAGGGGGTTTGGCGGCTGGATTAACGAGCTTGAATCTTTGTATGCGAGGACGGGCTTCAGTGAAGCGCCGTTGAGCGCCCCGCTGCGCTCAAAAGGGTTGTGGTTGGAGTATCGCGACACTAGTAGCGCCCCTGGACAATGGCGGCGCCTGCAGCAGACACCATGTTTATGCTCCTTTAAGAAAACATTAAAAATTAGCGAATGAATAAAGATGAGGATGGAAGGTGTTATTGATCTTGTACCAGGGAAGGTGATGGGGAGGAGGGTGAATATGGCCCCATGTTGCGCCTGATGGAGGCGGGTGCTCCACTGTACCATGGGGGAGGGCTTGGAACCCTCCACTGTACCATTAGGGGGGGCTGGGAACCCTCCACTGTACCATGGGGGAGGGGGGGCTGGGAACCCTCCACTGTACCATGGGGGAGAGGGGGGCTTGGAACCCCCCTCCTGTACCACGGGGCTTTGCATTAATTCTTTTCCACTTACTAATAAAAGCAATGTACAATACTTAAATTTAGGCTATTCTTTCAATATCTCTTGAAAGTCTGGACTTTATTCTCGTTCCCTCCGGGCTATAGTCAGACCTGTTAATGTTGGCAACATATTGAAGCGTGAGACGGTGTAGTTGTGCAGCCTGTCCCCTAAACAAAGACACGAATTCATTCCATGCACCCGCCAACCCCCCTGTTTATGAATGGAAAAACTGCGCACGACTCACAACTGCAACCCGTCCTCGACTCGAGTCCATTACATCCAGCGGTCGACCCCCACAGACGCATTCATAAATTTTTACATGCTGTTCGTTTAAAATGGGAATTTTCTCATATATAAATTAATATTATAATAGCATATTGTGCATATATAGGCATAGATTAGGTGTTTAGGTTCTGTTGGCGTTTATTTGTTTTTGTAGTACGTGGGTGAAGCATTTATAGCGTTGTGGTTTGAACAAAATTCGTCAGTGAAGCACTTGTTCCGGAAGTGTTCGAACGAAATCAGTTGAGTCGTGTGTAAACCGTTTTTCATTCATAAACGGGGGGTTTGGCGGGTGGATGGAGTCACTTTTGGGTCTTTGTTTGGAGGACGGGCTGCACAATGATGACGTTCGAACACTTCCGGAACAAGTGCTTCACTGACGAACTTTGTTCAAACCACAACGCTGTAAAGGCTTCACCCACGTACTACTAATACTTGCCAACAGAACCTAAACACCTAACCTAACCAGTGCTTAAATATGGTAATATAAAATAATACTAATTTATATTTGGAAAAATTCCTGTTTTGAATGAACAGAATATTAAAATTTATGAATGCGTATTTGGGGTCGACCGCTGGATGGAATGGGCTTGGTTCTTACCTGAAGGAGTAAGACGGTGCCGCCACCTCGCGCTCGTACTGAAGTGACCAGAGGAAAATGTCCGGTATAATTTGATGGCTTCATATACATTAAAATCATATATAATTTCTTGGCTTAGTTGTAATGTTAAAGGGGGAGGCTTCAAACAACGTTTGAAGTTGTATAGTGCACTTTACAGCACTTTTTATAAAGTATTTTGTACTTAATAGTTTGGTCTTGAACCACCTGCCATCCAGCATGCCAGCACCTCACAGCATGTTGCACAACTACATATACTCCTTTATCCAATGCCTTTCCTCTGTCAGGAATACAAGTTACCAATTGTTTTATTAAGGTACATATCCTCTTTCCCCCACTGGCGCACTCCCCCTTCCGCGCCCTGGAAAAGCTATCAGACGGGCCGTCCACCCCTAACACTACACAATCTCTTAAATGACTCGCCTCAGTTTTTTTAAAGGTTTCTGTTCTAAAGTGTCAGCGTTGATAAATCTGTTAGTTTCATGAGACTACCGTTCATTGTAGCAACAGGAAATCTCAACCTAACCTTCCGTACCTTCCTTGACCACAACTCTTCCTTAACCAACTCTATTGGAATTTCAATATCTGCTGTACTCGTCTAGTTGTGTTTGTGGGGGTTGAGCTTTGCCGCTTAGGTCCCGCCTCTCGGCTGTATTTTCATTATACTGTTTTGCTGTTCTTTGGACGTTCTTAGCAATGACAGCTAGTCGTTCGCTTCCTTAAGATATGGAAATAGTTTTTCTTAATCTAGAGGCCATGAGCAGACATGTTGGGACACACAAGATGGTGAACCCAGCAAGGATGAAGCCAGGGGGAAACTGGCGGTCCGTAACGATTCTGACACAAAGATCGTTGTAGATGGGTATAGGGGTGAAAGACTAATCGAACCATCTAGCAGCTGGTTCCCTCCGAACTTCCCTCAGGATGTCAGAGATTCGAAGATTAATTTCATCTGGTAAAGCGAACGATTGAGGCCTTGGGGACGAAACGTCGATCTATTCTCAATAGGATCTTGAAGTAAAGATGTCTTCGTTTTCTATTCGCAATTGGGGTTCCTGGGTGGAATGGAAATAAGTTTTTCTTTCATCTGATGCCTCTCTTCATCGAGCAATAAATAGGTACTCGGGAGGTAAGCAAATGTTGAGACTGCACCCTGGGGAGGGTCAATAAAACTTCGGTCATACGGGGACCTATATACAAGCCAAAAGTAATGAACCTCTTACACAGGCCTCCTGTCCCCAACAAAAAATCGTTACTAAACTTTAAATGGGGTGGGATGGAGAGCTTGCTCGAACGCAGAAGCCTTGGCGACTAATCATAGCATCCAGCGGGGAGTGTCAAGAGTATAAATTCGTGTACGACTTGATAATGTTCAGGACGGACCCAAACGTCGCCATTTCTTTTATTTACACGTGTGGGTCGAGTGTCCAGTGTTCAGTCACGTTGTGACTCGCTTTTCATAAGTGTGTATCATATACTTCAGTATTTTTCTATCAGTCCAAAATGCTTCATTTAGATTCTTGTCGTAGCGTTTCCCCGCAAGTTTCTTTGCGAGCACTTCAGCCTGGCTCTTTAAAGGAATCCCCTCGCCCCTACTCTCCCTCCTGCACTAACCCAACTATAGAGATAAAAATATTACACCTAGTTCTTTTTGGAGGATCATCGAAATCTGTTCAAAATTAAAGCGGTAATTTAATTAATGAACATTAGCGTTCGTTTTCCGTTTGAAACTGTTCGAAATAAGTGGTAAAAGAAACCGTCCGGTCGGCCACAAGGCTGCAGGCACAATATTGGGACAAGATGAAACAGAACAGGAATCTGAAGTTCTCCCTGATTGCAATAAACGAAGCAAAATCCGCTTTAGGCATAGTAAAATAACATGCATAAACTACAGGCGGATAAAATTCAAAACTAAAAAAAATTGTTTTAAAAATTATTCCCCACTGGTCAAACGATCAAGGCTCCACTAATCTCCAAACATGGGACGACAGCCAAGCACTAGGCTGTGGTTTTCCATCGAAATGTTAGAAGACATTTTATTACACTTCCTCCATCCCCGCATCCCCCATCTCCTTCCCATCTATCAGTAGTGCCGTCTATCTAGTTAGTGCCATTAGTATACTATATCTAGTGCCATTATCTAGTAGATCTAATCTCGATTCAACAAAATGCCTGGAGACAAAAGTCAAATTAGTGTGGGTAGGCGTACTCTCGGTATATCCTCGCCTCGCCAGCCACAGTTGAAAGCACAAAAAAATATATATAAACTCCCCAAAATCATAACGGTAAACAATGAGGAACAGTGAAGCTTGTACATAAGCCTCAGTGTCTACAGTTTCCTACATCCATACACCGCCCACCAACTCCAGCAGGGAAGACAAAGTTTAGCCTCGCACACTCATCGTCTACTGACCATCGCTCCTTACCTTCCCCATCACCTGTTGTTTTAATGTAGTAAAAATGAAACGCAAGTAACATTTGGACCATAAAACCACATTACGTAAATGTAAATTACACTATGAAAGCCAGTAACGTATATGGCCTTCCTCCCTGCCCCCGCCCTACCATTCTCCCGCTCTGGACTCGACACAATTCCTGCCCATCTTCATGAGCTTCATCTGACAGTAATGAGATGTGTATAGGGCCGAGAAGTGGGGAGGGAGGGAGGCAAGAGAAGGGGTGGAGGCTGGAGTACGGGTGAGGCAGGGATGATGCGAGGGGTCGAGGAATGTGACTATAGCCCCAGTAACCGGGTGGTGTCCTCCCCACAGGAGGGGCGGCGTCTTCTCTGGAGGACCACCAGCTGAGGAAAAGATTCATCTGGACGCTAACTCAGGAACCTTACTTCTACGGTATGTTACATCGCCCTCCTGCCTGCCTGCCTGCCTGCCTTCCTTCCTCCCTCCTCCTCCTCCTCCTCCTGCCCTCTTCCTCCTGCCCTCCTCTTCCTCCTCCTGCCCTCCTGCCCTCCTCTTCCTCCTCCTGCCCTCCTGCCCTCCTCCTCCTGCCCTCCTGCCCTCCTCTTCCTCCTCCTGCCCTCCTGCTCTCCTCTTCCTCCTCCTGCCCTCCTGCTCTCCTCTTCCTCCTCCTGCCCTCCTGCTCTCCTCTTCCTCCTCCTGCCCTCCTGCTCCTGCCCCCTTCCTCCTGCCCCCCTCCTCCACAAGTTCCTATTTTCCTAACATTAATTTTATCTACGTTAAACTTCAGCAGTTTGCCCGACCATCATTGGTCAGTTAATTTTGCAATGTTCTAGACCTCTTTTTACTCATTCTCGTTAGTTTAACATTACCGGCAAACATTAATGGGAAAACTGACAGCAAATGTCTTCTTAGAGGAGATCAGTGTGGGGCGTCATTCTCTCCTGTCAGGGTAATATATTAGCCCCGTCCACCATAAGTAACTGTAAAGACATTCAAGGTTACGGTGCAATTAGCTTTTGAGTATTTTTTTTTTAATGCCTAAACAATATACGTGGTGAGAAAATGACTCGATGGCGGAAGTCGTCGGTTCCTTCATCACGTGGTGTGTTAATGACCAGGTATGATTGGTAGATGACATGTGGACCAATCCTGTAGCTTAATGATTTCCATTAGTCAGTCTCGCTCTATTAGAAGTAAACAAACTTCCTGGAACAGTGTGCTTCCATCGCTCGTCTCGTGATCTTGTTACACCAGCCACTTCTCAGACAGTAGCTACACTGTTTATGCGCCACTCTCTCGACTCTTATGGAAATATCAGATTCAATTTCCAGCCAGAAATATATTTCGCATACAGCCATTATCGGCAGCTTGGGAAAGCACGTTATAGACTCCAGTTGAGCGATGGTGGTCTACATACCTGCTTAATATTTTTTTGTAAACAGGTGTGAGCTAAAATAAGATTGTTTATCAAGAACGTTCCTTTTCTTTCAGCAAAGATGGGTAAAAGTTGTTTTGCTGCAGCCAATTTAGTGTTAAATAGGGTCAGCGGGGTCAAGGTTGCTGGCGCCAGCCTTCACAACATGGCCTTGCAGCTGCAACTTCCTGCAGTGAGGTCACGATCTTGTCCTCGCGGTGATTCCATGAAGCAGTTGATTCTCTGGCGATGTTTGCCACCACTGAACTCTGGCGCTGGAGCCCCGCCACTTACCCACGTCATGCCTTTGTTGCCAAAATTGGCAAGTAAACGGATTCTTGGGCCCCGCCTTCTGAGAGTTGTTAAAACTACTCTTAATCCAGAGTCTAAAACTTTGTCGTATCAGCTTTTAAAGCTGCAGATGGAGTTTTTCTCAGCAATTTATAGTTCAACCCAATTGGTTGACATTCGTACACTGACTGAACACTTGGTTGCTTCTCGGCTGGAACAGATCACATTCTACTTTGCCTCTCCTAGTTGTACAGCGGCGTGTGATGTTCTCTCTCGGCCTGTTCGTGCAACTGTCTTATTCTGGGTCTTGGCGTGCTCTGGGCCTGGCGTGCCTTTTCTCGGGCGGGACTGCTCGCTCAGGCGTTCTCTCCTCAGTGCGGGACCGCTCGCTCCGGTTCGTTACCTCGCTCTTGTCCTCCCTGAAGTCACACTGATTTTTACCGACATCTGCACTCTTCAGGTGTTCCACCAGTATGTGGTAGTGTATCTGTATCTCTTGTATCTTGCAATGAATACATGTAGCATACTGGTCTGTAATTCGGCGTTTGCTTCACTAAATAATGAAAGCTCTTGGTTAGAATATTGAGACTGGTTCTCTCACGACTTGCAAATGCATTTTAATTTTGTTCAATTAAATATACTAACGCCCACGTGAAGAAAAATGTTCGTTGGTGCGAGGGGGGGGGGACTATCGGGAGGGAACGCGCCAAGCCATTACGACAGACACGCACGCACGCATACACGTGCACGCACGTGAGGCTTCCCCAATGGAGTCCCGCAGGGTTTAGTCCATGGACCTATACTGTTTCTGATGTATGTAATTGATCTCCCAGAGGGTATTGAATCGTTCCTTTCATTGTTTGCTGATGCAAAAATTGGAGGATTAAGACGGAGGAAGACAGTATGAGGTTACAAGATGACCTAAACAAACTGAATGTATGGTCCAACAAATGGCTACTAAATTTCAACCCCAGTAAATGTAAGGTAATGAAACTAGACGGTGGAAACATGAGGCCAGACACAGGATACAGAATGGGAGTTGAAGTCCTTCTCGAAATGGACACAACTCTAGTAGTTGATATCACACCAAACCTATCTCCTGAAGCCCACATAAAGACTAACATCTGCGGCGTGCGCAAGGCTGGCTAACATCAAAACTGCCTCCAGGAACCTGTGTAAGGAATCATTCAGAACCTTGTATACCACATATGTAAGACCAATCCTAGAGTATGCGGCCCCAGCATGGAGCCCGTACCTTAACTGTTAAGCCCAAGACGAAGCTTGAAAAAGTTCAGAGGTATGCCACTAGGCTAGTCCCAGAACTAAGAGGCATGATTTACGAGGAAAGGCTGCGTGAAATGCATCTCACGACATTGGAAGATAGGAGAGTAAGAAGAGACATGATCACTGGCTACAAAATTCTCAGGAATTGATAGAGTAGATAAACTGTTTAACACAGGTGGTACGCGAACAAGGCGAGACAGGTGGAAACAGAGTACCCAAATGAACCACAGGGACGTTAGAAAGAACTTTTTTTCAGTGTCAGAGTAGTTAACAGGTGGAATGCATTAGGCAGTGATGTGGTGGATGCTGACTCCATACACAGTTTCAAATGTAGATATGATAGAGCCCAGTAGGCTCAGGAATCTGTACATCAGTCGATTGACAGTTGAGAGGCGGGACCAAAGAGCCAAAGCTCAACACCGCAAGCACAAATGAGTACAACTAGGTGAGTACATACACAAGGAGATCTGGTAGCTGAGTGGATAGCGCGTGGGACTCGTAATCCTGTGGCCCGGGTTCGATTCCCGGCGCCGGCAGACAGAGATGGGCAGTTTCTTTCACCCTGATGCCCCTGTTACCTAGCAGTAAATAGGTACCTGGGAGTTACAGTTGCTACGGGCTGCTTCCTGGGGGTGTGTAACAAAAAGTTCGAGGTCGAGGACCGGGCCGCGGGGACGCTAAGCTCCGAAATTATATACAGAAACCCTCAAGATAGGCCGCCGGCTCTGTGCTCGTTGGGGCCACTAGGGTTAGTGGCCCTCGGGTAAACTTTCTTCAAATTACTGTATCACTTCCACACCATTATGGAGATGTAATCCCTTCACCATCCTTGGCGTCACCGCCACCCCCCCCCCCTTCCCATCCTCGTGTATGAGGACATCCATCCTTCACACTTTAAACGGTGTGTGTGTGTGTGTGGGGGGGGGGATAATTAGTAACAGCTGGTTGATTGACGGTTGAGAGGCGGGCCGAAAGAGCCAGAGCTCAACCTCCGCAAGCACAACTAGGTAAACGAACGAACAAACAAACAAACAAACAACAAAAACAAAACAAACACACCCACCCACCCACACCGTTTAAAGTGTGAAGGATGGATGTCCTCATACACGAGGATGGGGGGGGGGTGGCGGGGACGTCAAGGATGAAGGGATTACATCTCCATAATGGTGTGGAAGTGATACAGTAATTTGAAGAAAGTTTACCCGAGGGCCACTAACCCTAGTGGCCCCAACGAGCACAGAGCCGGCGGCCTATCTTGAGGGTTTCTGGAGATAATTTCGGGGCTTAGCGTCCCCGCGGCCCGGTCCTCGACCTCGAACTTTTTGTTACACACCCCCAGGAAGCAGCCCGTAGCAACTGTAACTCCCAGGTACCTATTTACTGCTAGGTAACAGGAGCATCAGGGTGAAAGAAACATTTTGCCCATTTGTCTCCGCCTCCACGGGGGATCGAACCGCGGGAACCTCAGGACTACGAATCCAAAGAGCTGTCCACCCAGCTGTCAGGCGCCTGTCGATGCCCCCCCCCCCCCTCCCAATTTTGCCTTTATATTTTTTAGTTGGACTTTAAGTAGTTTTGGCATTTTCGGCTTCGGCGGGTAGACTGTTATATGGGTTTATAACTGTGGGTGAAAAAGCATCTCTTGTTCTCAGTCCAACATTGTGGCTTGTTGAGCTTGAAACCGTTGCTCCTTGTTTGTTACGTCTGACCTGAAGAAATTGTCCGGATCCACATCCTCCAAACTGTTGAGTATTTTACGTTTAAGAGAGATCCGCCCTGTCATGTCTGGTCGTCAACCGTCCGTGATAAGCGAGTTGACTTGGCTTAGGAATGATTTTTGTTGCCCGGTGATGCACTTTTTTTCCAGAGCAGCTATATCCTTCTGAAGATGAGGTCTCCAGGCTTGGATACAGTAATCCAAATGGGGGCGCACCAGATTTATGCAATTGAATCATTACTTTCTTTTCCTTGAAGTCAGAGGTACGCTTGATTATTCTAAGGGTTTGGTTAGCTTTTCCAACTGCTGCTCCTACCTGTTGTGTAACTTTGTGAGTGGTGGATTTTTACTACAGCAGGTTCATGAAAAAATGACTTTTTAATGTAATGTTACTCGTTTGGTAGTTGTGGCGTAGGAGCAGCAATGTGGATTATATATTAATTTTTTTTTTTTTTAGATCTTGTTCAGTGGTGTAGTGATGGCTGGAGATTCTGTAGAAAATATAAAAAAAAATACATTCGGAGATAAGCGACCCCTGGCATAAAATTGTTGCTCCCAGGTCCTGTGTAGAGTTAGTGGTTCTATGTAGAGGATTGACCTAAATCTCTAATGGATGGATCAAAATCTCTCAACCCAAGAGAATATAAGAGAAGGAATATGATCACATCATTGAAGATACTGAGAAGAGAAGTGGACAAAGACGGTCTTTTCAAATTGAGAGAATGTAGGATAAAGCGCAAATGAGTCGAACATTTGTACCCTGTACGGCTGGTCAAAAAGTGGAATGCGATAAATGTTGTGGAAGCCACTTCCATCCACAGTTTTAAGGCCTCACTCAAGAGACTGTCAGAATAATTATATTATGACACAAGGTATAACAAGGCCTGTAGGTGGGGCACCAAGAGCTAGAGCTCACTCCCAACTTTCCGGTAATCATCTCTTGTTCCTTCTCGGTTATCGATCATAAGTTTCTCCGATGTTGGCTTTAATGACTCTTCCATTACCAGAGGTTCGGCCTCGCGGGCCGTGTCACGGGCGGAACTCGGGCGGAACTCGGGCGGGGTTGGTTACCGCCTGGAGGAGGGTGTCCCCGTCCCAGACACTCCTGGCGTCTTTGACTTCATTAAGGTGATCGCAGACTTAACGAACACGAAGTTATCTGCCACGCTGTATCTTCTGTACTCCATTGACCGTGGCTCCTCCCACTACCACCGTGGCTCCTCCCACAACCACCGTGGCTCCTCCCACAACCACCGTGGCTCCTCCCACAACCACCGTGGCTCCTCCCACAACCACCGTGGCTCCTCCCACAACCACCGTGGCTCCTCCCACAACCACCGTGGCTCCTCCCACAACCACCGTGGCTCCTCCCACTACCACCGTGGCTCCTCCCACTACCACCGTGGCTCCTCCCACTACCACCGTGGCTCCTCCCACTACCACCGTGGCTCCTCCCACAACCACCGTGGCTCCTCCCACTACCACCGTGGCTCCTCCCACTACCACCGCCTTAGCTTCTGCTTCCAGGCTTTCCAATCTCCTGGGGCCCCTTCTTCAGTACGGGCATGACGGAGGTGTTGATGATATTCTTGGCACAGACAATATTAAGCAAAAGGCAAACTGCACCTACTGGTGCCACTGGTCTAACCACGATACCATTCCACAGCTAAATAGGGGTCTGGTAGCTGAGTGGACAGCACGCGGAACTCGTAATCCTGTGACCCGGGTTCGATTCCCGGCGCCGGCAGAGACAAATGGGCAGAGTTTCTTTCACCCTGATGCTCCTGTCACCTGGCAATGGATAGGTACCTGGGAGTTACAGCTGTTACGGGCTGTTTGCTGGGGGTGTTTGTGTGGGTGGGGTGGGGGGGATTAGTTAGTAACAGTTGGTTGATTGATTGATTGACAGTTAAGAGGCGGGCCGAAAGAGCAGAGCTCAAACCCCGCAAGCACAACTAGGTTAATACAACTTGGTGAATACAGTTTCTCGTAACTAAGAACCAGCACACCCAATTGTCTAGGATGCCACCGTCATTTACACTCCCTCCGTGGCTGCTGGGACGAGTCCATCATATGTGCAAGAGAGGAAGCAGGCTGCAGGAACATCTGTTGTCCCAGGACAACGGATGCCAAGAAGTTGGGCGTACCTAGCACAGGGAAGAGGCAGGGAGGATGACTCTGAAGCACATCCCGGCCCATGTCAGTCTCTTAAATAATAGTAAACCGAGAGAGGGAGAGTCGATCGCCACCTTCCAGCAACAGAAGATAAGGGACTTAAACGCGGCCTCAGAAAGGCAGCGTTTTGTATGCGCTTTATTTAAAATACCGAAAGCAAAGGGTAATTAAAAATGGGGAAAAAAGACAATGTATAAAGTACCACAAGAATCTATTATAGTTAGCCTCCTCTTAGCAATACTGTATACATAACATTTGTCATAACATGAATGATGTCACAAACCAAATCATAAAATTCTCATGATGCAAAGATCTATGGGAAGGTGGGAACCAACCACGATATTATGGACTTGCGAAAGACTGTCATTTATAGTGCATGTTGAAGACTGGCAAGTGTTCTTTGGTATTGACAAATACCAATGTTCTTTGCTATTGAGAAATGCAAGAACACTTGGATACAAACTACCATGTAAACATTACCATTTATTTTCAAGCTTCAAAGGCTTTATATAATGTGCAGTTTTTAGTGTCCAATTGTCGGACAGGAATTAGCATTGTTCGATTATAGAAGTCCTCCTTGCCAATGATTGGCCATTCTGCAGGAAGTGACCCACAGCGGTGTACAAACTAGAGGTACTAATTTACTGCAACCTGAACGAACATCGGATTAAGAGACTAACGCAATGGCCTATGCCAGGAACGGAATGTGGGACCAGTCGTTTGAGTACTGTACTCCTGTTCTAACCTCTGAGAGCCGCGTCCTTGCGTAAGATTTGATTATCTCAATTAATTCTGCATAATTTTTATAATTATGCCCCACATATAACGTTTACATGGATTCTTACGTCAGTAGGAAAGTATGGTAGAGTGAGCGGCGAAGAGGGACAAGAGCATCTAGGAGATGGTGCCGGATCAGAGATGCTGCCCGAGGCTATGGGTCTCCGAAACCCAACCTCCATGCATAAACGGCTCTACCCTCGTTGGTACCAGGCCTACGTCTACAAGGTAATAAGTCGCCCCATTTTTGTTTAGCTTGAGTAAGGGTTCATTAGCAATATGATGCTGATATCTGTAATTAAACTAAAAGCAATTAAATTAAAGAGCTGTTATCCAATTTAATTCATATGAAGGTTTGCCATAGAAACTAATCTATTTAATGAGCTTGTTACATTTTCATTAACAGTATTTTTTATTTAATATTGCAGTCATATTAGGTACAGAATGAAGGCCTTCATGTAGTTGGTAGATTTTATTTTAAATATTTCTAAATGTTGAGGGAAAAGTGTTTTAAACTGAGCTTAGAAATTAACAATCATTGATGTAGTGGTCTTTTAACATCAGCACAGCCAGCATGAGGCTGTTGATGACTTGAGCGCCTTGTGTTGTGGTTGCCTCCTACTGGTTGTCAATGAAAATGAACCAGTTGAAGGACCTTAAACATTGGCTTAATACATAACAGGAAAGCAGACAAGATCTCCTGTTCAAGGCTCTTGGTGCCATTCCTCCAGCAACCAGCAGTTTGCCTAACCAATGTTCAGACCACATCAAAGTTATTAGCTGTCGGAGGATAATAGTAATTTAAAGGTCTGATCAATGGCTGGTGAAGGCTGCTGATCTGATAGTCAGACTCCCTATTTCTTACATCGGAAATCTCGGTTTTATTGCATTATCTGTAATGACTACAGTACCATATAATTGAAGCAAGTGGAAAAGAATGAATGTAGGGATATCCCATAACATGCGATATAGACGGGAAAAGCATTGACAAACTGAAAGATTCAAAAGCCCCAGATGTGGACAAATTCAATCCAAAGTCATTAACGAACTGGCAGATGAACTGTCTGCCACTAAAATCACTTCCCAGGAAATCTCTTTACCGAAGGATAGGTCCCCTAGATTGGAAATTTGCAGACGTAACCCCTATTTAAAAAAAAAAATGGGGAATGCTAGCCATAGGCCTTCTGAAGTTTTCTTGGGCACACAATCCTATCCTTGAAAATGAGACTACTATTTGCATTACTCTTCTGGTAGATAAAATAGATAAAACAAATAAATTAGAAATAATGGTAGAGGATGCCAGTTAGTTTTCAATTATTGCTGGATTAGGTCATTCCTGAGCATGACAGATAGTTGGGAAAATTTTTCACCTGATGCCTTTATCCCTTTAGCAGTGAATAGGTACCCAGGAGTTGGCAACTTTTATGGGTTGCATCCTAAGGAGGTCATTATATAGTAGTTGTATATAAAATCTATCTATATAGTAGGTACAGTGGCACCTCGACTTACGATTGCTCTTACTTAAGATAATTTCGAGTTACGATGTAAATTTCATCGAAAAATGCGACTCGACATCCGATGGTGTCGTCGACTTACGATATTTGTTGGTACACGTTCGGGAGGGTGGGGGAACGGATTAATTCGAATCCCTTTATTTCTTATGGGAAAAATCGCTTCGACTTACGATCCGTCTCTGGGAACGGATTAGCATCGTAAGTCGAGGCTCCATTGTATATAAAAATATGCGTGTATTCGAATGGAACGTTGTCAAAATTTCAAAGCAATTGGTGAAGAATATTTGTAGATTACAGCATGTGTTGCTCTTACATCCAACAGGTGGGACTGTTTATCATAAAAAACATGTATTTTCCTGTCACAGGTGAGGCATGTAAATAGTAGGTTTATAAAAACACGCTCCTATTCGAATGCAAAGTTTTCAAAATTTCAAAGCAATCAGTAAAGAGGTTTCGAAGATTTCTCACATTGAAAAACACTGCTTTTCATGTGTTTTTCAAAGGCGTGTTTTTTTTTCCCATCACAGACGTAACATCTATATAGTATGTATATAAAAACCCGCATGGATGCGGATGGAAAGTTGTCAAAATTTCAAAACAATCGGTGAAGTACTTTCGGAGATTAGCAATTTTGAACAAACATTTACAATTTTCTTTATGTACATTATATGAGACTTCCTGTTTGCTGATACCTGCACCCTCAATGCCAGCACAGAGCAAATGATGCTGCATGAAATGGACTGCTTCTCAAAAGTCTGCAACAACTTTGATCTTATCATTAGCACCAAAATGACTTAAGTCGTGTACTGTACCAACGTGCCCCCGGAATTCCCTGACAGAAATTACACATCACTGTCAAGGGGCAGAACCTGCGGGCAGACAACAACTTCACCTATCTTGGCGCCATACTCTAGAGCAGTGAACATAGACGCCAAAGTCAGCAATAGGATCGTCAAGGCCAGAGCTGCCCTTTGGAAGATTCAATAAAAATATCAGTATTGAGGGGCCTCGGCCTTGCCACCGAACTGAGTCGATTGTGCAGTGGTATTTGCTACCCTTCTCTATGCCAGCGAAACCTGGATTGTCTACAGCAGATATGCCAAACAAAATCACTTTCCCTTGAGCTGTGTCCTCAGGCTCCTCCACATCGAGTGGAGGATAAAATCCCGGACACAGAGGTCCTGGAAAGGGCCTGTACAGTATTCCTAGCTTCTACACCCTCGGACAACTCGGGCAGGCTGTGTTGTTAGAATGCCTGATAGTCAATTGCTAAAACAGCTCTTGTATGGAGAATTATGCCAGGGCATGCATTAAGTTGGGGGGCAGAAAAAATACTTAAAGGATTGCCTGAGGGCGACCCCTCGGCCTGGACATAAATGTCAATACTTGGGAGTCATATAGTCAGAACTGTCCAACTTGGAAAAGCATAGTCACCATGGGGGGCCTGTGCAGCAGAAAATAGACGAACTGCAGAGGCTCAGAGGAAACGTGCCACTTGCAAAGTTAGGCCAACCTCCACCTCTACAGTAGCACTCGCCCACACATGTCCTGTGTGTGGGTGAGCCTTCCAAACCCAGACTGGTCTCATCCTCCACCATCTGGCACAGTCACTGACCTTCAATCTGATATATTGAAGTCATGGTCATCTTTGACCCCAAAGGATGAACATCACCACCACTCCAAACATTCACCCATTGACCTTACTGATTGCAGAAATTGTATGAATTAGAGATCTGATGCTCTGTACACATGCCTTTTATTTGTATAGTAGTGACAAGTGATCCATCAAATATTATCTAAACTACCGATGGCTGCTACTTTATAATATATGCCAAGGTAATAGCACTTGCTTAGTGAAGTTTGGCAAGTACAGAATTAGCTTTATCTTTAGTTTTGTAATTGCTTGGACATTAACAAAGATTTGCCCATCTATGAACCTTTTATTTAGATTGCAACTCAAGAGTTGAATAACATCCAGGTACCTATTTACTGCTAGGTAGATGTACTTTACCAAGTGTGTAATGTTTCAGAACCCAAGCTTCAACCAGGTGGCAGGACCAGTGGGTGAGCGCAAGAGGTTCCAGCCTTTCCATCCACTGGCCAGATTCCGGGGTCTAGCCTTGGGTGCTACACAGTACTCGAATGGCTACCATGCTATCCCCGACATGCCCCTTGCTGACCACACTGGTCATCGCCTCCCAACAGGTTAGGGTTTCTTCTTATTAACATCTCATTTATGCAGCTGTATTAAACTGTGCTATCTATTGGACAGTATTATGAAACTTCGGATGGATTGAGGATATACTCGATTACTAGTGAATAAAGAAATGGCAACATTATAGATACACGAATATCACACAGGTTTACAAGTCTTAATGACTGGACATTAATTAACATTAAATGATTGAGATAGTGACCTAGTGTCTTGTCCGTTTACACATGGAGTAATCAGGATTGGACAGGTCACTGGCAAGCATTTGCCACAGGGACTGTAACAGTAATTATTTAAAAATGATCCTAGCAAATAGTCAATCTCAGCATTTTGTGTTGCGTATGTATATAATAATCAAATCCAAAGAAATAATTTTGTTTATACCAATGCATTTTGACCTTTTTTAAAATCCTCAGACCTGAATATTGAGTTGAGTAATAGTTTTGAAAATTTGGATACTGTACCAAGGTCTAGCTAAATAGCATCTGTATTGCAAGCAAGTTAGTTCTTTTGTGATTATTATTTGGGAGATCCTATCCATACAAAAAAAATTGTGTTCACTTGTGTAGTGAGCAGGTTATTTGATCACTATTATGAAGAAGTTGCTGTTTATTGTACAGCAGTAACTTTTAATGTGATTAAAGAGCAAACCTTAAATTGGTTACTGCTTCCATGTTTGTATACTGATAGGCAATTATAGTGAAGCTAGTTCTGCTAGTGAAGAATTCAGCCAGGTATTTAACATGACATCAATGTTCAGTGGTTTCTGTAAAACGTTAAAGTTGCTGAAAAGTTCTGTTGATGGTTGGACTGAGCCATCAGTCTAAATTTAATACTTGCAACACTTTTAAACAATTACCTCTTACTAACTTAGTGACCTGGTTTTTGAAGAGCAGGATGTAAATTGCACCTACTTTGATATGCATATACTGTAATAACATGCAAATAAGTTTGGATACCTGATATAAATAGCATTTTAAAAGGCACATTCAGTTTGATGAGAATTTTACTTTGCAACTTGGCATTTTTGACAGTTTTGTGTACCAAAGAAAATTGCTGGAATACTGGAGAAATCTGAGCAATATTGGCTTTTAGGTTTTCATTGCAAGTCGTGTTAACTTATGATTTAGTAAAGTTTAGTTGTCCCGTGTGTTAATAATTCAAGGACATCACAGGGCACCCAAAATCACTTGTAGTTTCATTTTGTATTACAGTTTATTGAAATTAGTGATGGGAAATCCAAATCGAGAACATATTAAACTATGGAATTTCAGCACATCATCAGTCCATTCTATCCAGTAGCTGACCTCAAAGATGCATTTGGCAATTTTAGCATGCTGTTCATTCAAAATACAAATTTTCTCAAATATAAATTAATATTATATTAGCATATCGTGCATATTTAGGCATTGGTTAGGTTAGGCTAGGTGTTTAGGTTCTGTTGGCAATTATTTGTATTTTTAGTACAGTACTGTACTTGGGTGAAGCATTTATAGCGTTGATTCGATAAAGTCATCAGCGAAGCATTTGTTCCGGAAGTGTTCGGATGAAATAAGTTGTCGTGTGTAAACCGTTTTTCATTCATAAACACAGGGTTTGGCGAGTGCATGGAATGGACTTTGGCCTTTGTTTATGAGGATGGGCTAGGTATTTATAAATGTCTTTGCATAATTGACTGATATCAATATTCTCACCATGAGGAAGATTTGTTCTTGCACACACTGGGTACTCCCAGTGAGTGCAGGTTCAAATCATCCTCATGGCCCCTACTGATTTTCTCATTAATCATTAATAAATAATGTTATTGGTAAGAATATTGCGCTCATTAAGTAGTATTCAGAGGTATAAAGTCTCGGCCGATGATACGAATACTTTATGATGACTCGGTTTATATGCCTATTGTAGTTATTGGTGCCGAGAGTTTAGGTGCTTTGATTACTGAATTTGTACTCTCTTCCCGTTTAGTCCAAGGTATTCTGCTAACATGTTTGCACCATCTCGGTGTCATCCACTGCCACAACTCAAAGAATGCTAGAGATTGGGGGGTGGGGGATGGGCAGTGTTGCAAAAGAATTAATTTAACCCTTTGAAGACAGGTGGTTATTTGGAAAGCTAATTGTAAGATTTGTTAAATTCATTACATCAAAAGCAGTTTGGTGATAAGTAATTATAGTGATAGTCCCTGCCTGATGAAATATTCCGCAAAATAAATTTGTGGTTTTGTGAAGTAATTTAGACAAGTTACGATAGTTTTCTAATTTGAACCATAAACCTGCAAAAGTTCAAATGTGGGACATTTAGAAAATGTGCTGAAATCCCAATATATTTCACAAACTGCAATTTAGCATCTGAGAAGGCTGGGTAAGTTAAAGCAAAATGCACAAATTTATAAGACTGGATATAGCACTTGATCAAAATACTTTTGGAAAAGTGTTTATCTCGGTACAACCTTGCAACACCCTTAGCCTACCACTGCTAATAATAATGCAGGACCCATTGAATCGGTCTTCTTGATAGCATTACCACCACTTGTCTCTGGACACCTGTATGAACAATACTATATATTACTTTTTCCTCAGCCTGAATATTCTACATTGAGGTCTGTGAAATGTGTAAGAGCTATTATAGGTGTACAATAGATTTCTGAGATTTTAAATGTTTCTAATGTACAGAATAATGCAAGAAAATTTGTATCGGCACCATTGACCTAATGTTTGGTCATACTAATGTGTGTGTGAGTATAATATATAAAATGTAAGTCTGCATATGGTAATAATATATAAACACTGTTCAGATATGTTTTTATTATGGCCATTTGCATGTGTAAAATATGGAAATTATTTTAGGCAATATATGAATTAAATTGATTTGTATCCAGATACAAAGTTTTAGAATGTACAATTAATGAGATGTGGCCCTTTCCAGCACCCAATGCACATCCTTCCAAGTACGAGAGCCAGGAAGATGTGCCTGATGAGGAAGAGGTCGGGCAGCAGGTGAGGGCTGGAGACCTGCTCCAGTTCCTCAAGACCATCGCAAGTGACCGGGGTCTCTCCACCCACACTAAGGGATTCAGGTTTGGCATCAGCAGGAGGAAATAGATGGCTGCGCTCCTCAGCCTCTGGTTACTGTGACCTCGGTCATGCCTGCTCACCTATTCGTCAAAGGCCCCCCAGCAACTGAACGTGCCCATAGAGTTTTGGGAAGATGGTTTGCATAAAAGAAAATTACTTAAGGTGGCAGTGTTGTAATAAGGTTGATAGAACACTCGCTTGTTGTTATGGTTGTCATTGATTCGCAAAAAATGTAACTAGCAGAATTGGTCACTGACAAGTTTTCAGTTATACCATTTCTTGACAAATGGTTTCAAATATTTAAAGGGACTTGCTTAACCTTAAATTTAAATGACAATAGTGTTAGTTGCACAGTTATGGTGCTGGGGATGCAATAGTGGTAACACCCATGTGCATGGCAGCTATCGTGTATTAACTGTGCAGTAAAATGTATCGCTTCGCAAGATGCTAATAAATTTACATCAAATATTGATTGTATTAATAGTCAAAAATGAAGTAAAATATAAAGCAATCATTAGACAGTGAGAAAATACACAGCTGTGATAAGGCTTCAAACCTATGCACTGGTGTGATGTGATAACGGTACTGAGGTTATACCGGGCAAATGTAATATGGCATGCACACTTCTCATAAAATAAAAAAATTGCATTGGCCTTTGCAGTGTGACAATTGCACAAGAGTGAAGGAATACTCAAGGAAAAAATTGTGACAATTTACTCTAACAAGATAAACAAATAACATGTGAAATAAACAAAAACATGACTTGACACGCATAACTAACACACACTAGCAATAATAATGTGTGTGTACAAACTTGGGTTAACACAAACAAGGGCAACACTGAAAATGTTTACACTTAACACTACAACCTGTACACGAAGTTCTGGAGGTGAGCATCACGTTGAGGCAGTAATGTTTAATCCCTGAGCACCTGAGTGGCTAAAGCCCTGAGAGAGGTCACGGGTATTTATACCCACATGACCTCACATCCTTTGTCAAGGTGGGCTAACAAGTAGCCAGCAGCGTAATTGGCAGTTCATAGATGTAACGAGAGCCAGTGGGTCCAGAGCTGTGCACTTTTCGTGACAGCTGGCTATTCCCAGATGAACACGCTAAGCGACTACGTCATGACATGAAAACACAAAATTTGTCATTTGTTCATGTTGTCATGCAAAAATTGTTCGGCTTCAGTGGAAGCCTCGAGAATCCTAGGAGGGTGCAGTAGTACTCCAGGTTGCAATTCTTTTTAATGTTGAGTAGTCTTTTAGAGCATGTATCTGGGAATACCCAGCGCTTAGGTTTGAATCCTCATCACAGCTCCTGTGGCTTTTCTCATGGATTCATCATGATAATGTGATTTCTGTGTATTATGGACAGTAATAGTGGTACATGCATCCATGTTCCTGACAACCTTAAAGTTGTTTATCCTGAAAGGGCACTACATCAGCAAGAACTTTACCTGCATTGCCTTAACTTTAGGTGCTGGCAAATATCTTGCCATTATATCAATTATGAATGTTTTGCAATAAAAAAAAAATAGTTAAGACTTAAGGTAAATCTAGAGCCAAGACAGATTTATGTGCAAAGATTCAGAATCTAGTAATGTGCCATAGGCACAGAGAACACTGAACATCAGGGGTCCACAGCTATTAAACACACTCCCAGCAAGCATTAGAAATATTGCCAGAACAAAGACGGATGTACTCAAGAGGCACTTGGATAAGTTCTTGCAAGAAGTACCAGACCAACCAGGCTGTGGTAGATATGTGGGCCACTCCAAGCAACAGCATGTTGGACAAAGTTATCACGAATCAAGCCTGGCCTCAAGCCGGGCTTGGAGTATTACTCCCAGAACCCTCTCTAGGACTTTAAATTGAATAAGTAATCGATAACTCAAGTACATGACTTCATTCCTGCAGTCCAGGCAACTGCATCTATAGGAAAAATTGCATTAAAATGTACCCAACCACTTGGACAGGTCAGCAGAATGACAACCTTTCTTCTTGCAGGGCGAGTGTTTGATCCAAGGCATCACACAGTGCTGTCATCTTATCATTGTATCCATTCCAAATACTAGCATCATACTTGCTTAGTGTTTTAACCTGACCTTACCATAATCTTTCAAATGGTGGTTCTTAAAAGTCTATCAGATAAATAATATAAAGGCCAGTAGCAAATTATGACTAAATGGAGAAACTTTAGACTTGAATTTAAAGGAAACTGTACATATGCACTAATAAGGTACAATGTGCTAGAAAATCTTTAATGATTAATTAGATTATCAAAATGGCTTTTCAAATTCTTGTATTCCATTTACTACACATGTGCTGAAGTTAAGCACTTGAATTCCTTGTCTACAAACAAAAAATTTATTTACATAAAATAATATTTAGAAACTGGTTTTTAAAGTGAACACAATATTTTCCTACATATACTGTAGCTTTGAAAATAAAGCTAATTTCTCGCCTATGGAAAATTAGGTTCCGAACACTAAATACATTGACCCCTGTATGTCAAACCGTTATAAAGAATGGGTTGGCATAACATGCTAAAATCTCTAGTATGCTTGGTCATACTGTGCTTAATGTGAGTGATAAAGTAATGTGGTCATTGTTCACTGCACCCATGCTAAAAATTCTCAAATTGGTATATGTCCAGAACCTCTACTTGAGCCTGTACTATACTGTACTGATAATACAGGCTCAAGTGCACAAAATGCAAAGCCTTGTAGAAAAATGATTCGAGTTTATCTAGGCTTTAAATGTAGGTAGGCCAGATAAAAATTGATCTAAAGTACTGTAAACCATAATTTTTTGTCTTAAGCATCGACTCGTTCAAATAAGAGAACAAGTTCTGTGTGGTCGGTATGTGGGAACAAATCAACAGGAACGGCATACTTTGGAATAAATGGAGCGGATCGATCCCTCTTGTTCATTGTGCGCACAGTTGTCCCGAGCTTTATGAAGTTTTCCATTGCAAATCCTTGTGGTTTACAAGTTACATAAACCAACTTATTAATGGCATCACACTGGCGAATAGTTTGGATGACATCAGGATCTGTGGGAGAAATTAAAAGAATCTATTTAAAACATGTTGCAGAATCAATGATTGGTATGTAAATAAAGTAAGAATAATTATTCAAACTTTACAGTAAGCAAGTAAAATAATTTAATAAGGTAATCTACTACTAGCAGGGTACAGAACTTTTCTCTAGAAGAGTTTGACCCACCAGCTAATAAAAGTATGATTAGCTTTAGTTACCTAAAGAAATGCCAATTGTCAGCACCTTGTATTTTTACCTTTTTTTTTTTCCATCTTTCTGGTCTGATTTCAAGAAAGCTTTGCTTTTTAAATTTGCCTCCAATGTCAACAGTGTTCGAGGTATATCTCGCTCACTCTGGGTACAAAATAAAATGCAAATTTCTTCACTTAAGTAGCAGCCAATCCCTGTACGATTAAAAGCATGTACAGGAATGAACATCAGGTCATAGTTGACCTCTCACACACACGCCTTGTACACAATATAAAATGCCATTTTTTTTTTTCTATTTCCGTTCGTTGGGTTTATTTAGTAATGACATAGGAGGGGTTCATACTTTTTTCAAGTCTTATTCTCTACTTGCCAAACCAGCACGAAGTTTTGAAACTACAGTACTTCAATCGACACCTTGCAGGGAGTAAAACTGTCTGGCAATTTACACAACCGATCCTCAAAGTCCATTCCATCCAGTGGTCAACCCCAAAGACACGTTCATCAATTTTAACATACTGTTTATTCAAAATAAGAACTTATATTTGAGAAAATTCCTATCCTTATATATTAGCATACTGTTCATATTTAGGCATTGGTTAGGTTCTGTTGGCAATTATTTGTACTATATTTGTAGTACATACGTGAAGCATTTACAGCATTGAGGTTCGAACAAGTCTTCAGCGTAGTACTTGTTCCAGAAGTGTTCGAATGTCATCAGTTGAGTCATGTAAACCATTTTCCATTCATAAACGTGGGGGTTTAGTGGCTGTATGGAATGGACTTGGGCCATTGTTTGAGGACAGGCTGAAGTAAGAGACTGAAAATTCTGATCAAATGGTAGTTTGATTCCCAGTTAAACCTTGATGCCCATCTGCCAATCACCCCAGTATCCATTTTGGCTTGAGAAAGAAATGCAAGGGAAGGTAGGAGGGGGTGGAGGGCAGAGGTGAGAAGTGATATAGTAGGCATAGAAAGAAATCTTTTTAACAAACTCAAGCCAGTAGGTACATTATCAAAGGGTAATATTGGATTATCAGATCCTATTTTGTAACAATTTAGATTCTCTAGGCAGCATAGGTAAATTCCTGTGTCTGCTTGATGCAAGTGGTTCCTTCATCCAAAAAGAAGTGAATGGTGAATCTACTTCTGAACCACCCTAGATTGTACATTTATTAATTGTTTAAGTATATTTCATTTAATAAAGATTCTTATGCCTGAAGCACAGTGTATAAGAGATTTATTTAAAAGTTTAATGGGAAAATACTTACAAATAAATGAGAAGTTAGTTGACATATTTGAATTTTTAAAGATTCTGCAAACGATTAAAAAATTTTAAGCGATATTTAGAAACTTTTTTTTAAATGTAGTATTCAATGTATACAATATAGCACAAAATAAATGTTAACATTGTAGGATGAGCAAATGTAAGTAAAATTGGTTACACAATGTTAATTAGGCATTTCTTAGTTTACCATTCAAACTGGTTGAAAGAAGTACAGTTTTTAATTTTGTTAGGGAAAGATCATTCCACAGTTTATGACCTTAACCAAATTTGAAATGCTCTGTAAATTAAGTCATACTCTTGGCATATCAAGCAATTTTTTTTTGTGGTGCCCATGGTTTCTGTTGCAGCAAACTAGGAAATATTTGAGGTCAGGATTAGTATTGCTGTTCAGTTTTGTAGATCATTTGAGTGTGTGAGAAGTGAATTAATATTTAACATACTAAAGAATTTCAACAAGGGTGTTAAGTGCTGTTTGGAACTGAAGTTTATCATTCCAATTGCTGGTTTAATGTTGAGTATTAATGGGTCGAAGGTAATCTTGGGTGGTACATCCCCCGGGTGCAGATACTGTATAATGATATTGCTAGATAAGTGAATAATTTAGCATGTCTAAACATGGTAAATAGTATTTGATTCTATAGAGGATAACTACCGTTTTATAAAAGTTATATTTTGTATATACAATTGAAACATAATTTTTTGTCTGTACACCAAGGAGTTTGCAATTTACTGTTCTCAGTTTGGTTAATGATAATTTTTACTTTAATTTGATTGATGGACTAGTTTCCAAACTATGTAAAATGTGTTTTCAGTAGTAAGGACAAGTTAGTTAGTGGTCAGCCACAGATGGATTTATTTCCACTGTCATTTAGAAAAAGTGGGTTACCATTTGGAAAAAAAAAATGGTTGCAGCAACACCTGAAGCCAGTTCCATTTGCTGATTAGAGGTATTTGGTAACTCGTTGATATAAATGAAAGTGTGGGCACCACCACCAAAACATTCCTGGACAAGCTCGCAGCTAAGAAAGTGACAACTAAGTTATCATTTTATATTTAGCCCTGCCCATAAGTGATAGATAAGTAATGTTTTTAGTGCTCACTTAAATGTGCGAGACAAATGGTTTATGTAGTTATGCTCAAGTTGCCTAGAAAAGTATATAATGGTTTGTGTGGTGTATATAAATAAAAAGCAGTGATATGTTTGTGGCATGTAGGCAATCAAGCTTGAGAGGTCTGTTTATATTTCATTACTAATCTAGATTAGAAAGCTGTGAATAAACATTATTCGCAAACTAGTCCAATGAACGTAGAACAGGAAAATTAACAAATCATTGATGCATGTGTATACATTTAACATTATAAAAACAAATCTTGAAATTAGATTTTGAGAAATGAGCAGATGATCATTTCTCAGCTCTTCAAAATTATAATTCCTGTAAAGATGTTATAAAATTCTATTACAGTATCAACAATAAATAAATACTTCAAATTACAGTAGCACTTACGAAGACCTGAACGTGCAGGATTAACAACAGCAAGAACATCTGAACAGTGTCTGAGGGAGTGGCTTAAACGTGGAAGTATCTGCAACAGAGATGAATTAATGAGTACCTTTTTGTTTTTTCACCATAGAATGAAATTAGTGATCCTAATATGACACACACAGATGAATCCTTTTGCCTCAGTTTGGTACATTCATTATCAAATAGAAAGCTGCAAGGAACCAGAACACTTTCACTGAACACTAACAGATAAAAGAGCAATTCCTCTTTGAAAGCCAATTCCTATCTGCAGTTTTTCAGACACTATTTTATGTAGTTTGACCTTTGGCAAATTAAAAATTGCCTGGCTATGAATGCAACTATTCTAAATGACATTACTAAAAATTCAAAATCTGGAAAGCTTCCTCTCCAGCAAGGAAGATCAGCAGTCCTTCCATAATGGGCATGGTGGCACAGGATTTCTTCATGGTTCTTCAGTCTTGATTCTACATTGCTAGAGCTACTGTTGCTGCTGCAGGAACCTTGGTGATCGGGAACATCAGGAAAAATGACGTCCTAGAGAGACATGTCGTAATAATCTGGGTGTATCGGTTCAGGGTCGAGTGTTTTGGGGTAAAAGTTTGGATGGATCTCTTCAGGCATGATATACATCAGCATCAAAGATCTTGTTTTGAGGTTCTCATAGATCTGGTTAGCATGCTGGGTGTAGTGTGCTGTCAACTTGGTAATCCTGTTGGGTCTTGATTTTCTGGTGTAAACCAGGAGAGCAGGACAGGAGATTATCCTGTCTTAGTATATATAAGATTATCGAGTTTGTCTTAGTGGGTGGTGAGGATTACTTATTCACCAAAATGTCTCGACACTACCGTGCTCCGCGGCCGCCACCCGTCGTCGTTCATTTTTCTCCCGATTCTGAGCGAGTGACTATGGCTTGCGTCATGTATTAAAATATTTGTAAAAAATTGTGCTTATCTGATCAACTTCTGGGTGGTTTCAAAATGAGCGCCTTTAGAGTACACACAATTTGATACCAATATGAAAGACATAACATGAAAATTGATGTCAGAACACTGGAAAAATATAAATAATTTTGTAGTGATGAGCATCAAAAAGTGTCCAATAGTTAAAATATTTAATATTCCATTTATTCTATTATTATGGGACTAGTTTTAAAATACGCACGTTTATTTTGCAAACAATTTGATACCAAAATGAAACACACAACACAAAAATTTTTTATGTTATCAAACTGAACGAGTATATTCATTACTGTACTCTGCAGGTGTGCCAATTGATGCTCATTCATGGGTAACTTGGCCGACTTTAGACTTTGCTGTGGAGAATCATGCCAGGCTTTTAGACCATATATGCATATACCACCTGTAGAGAATTCTATTGCGAACACAATGATAACAAAACACAACGTAACATGAAAAATAAGGTGAGAAAACTGAAACGAGTATACACATTTTACTGATTTTGCGCACTCATGGTTTTTTTGCTGACTTTAGACTTTACTGTGGGGAGTCACGGCAGGCTTTTGGACCTTATATGCATATACTCCTATAGGTAATTCTATTGCGAACACAATGATTCCAAAACGAGCAACGTAGCACGAGAATTAAGGTGAGAAAACTGAAACGAGTATACACTTTTCGGTGTCGCCGCGCGCTCTCCCGAAACGTTGGGACCATACCTTGGGGTGCTTGACCATGACATCACAGTCTGCGGTGTGCCCGCACGGAGTGCAATAGTGTTAATCTGATGAATCAGAAGTGTTATATTGATTCAGTTTCTCAGTCACAGTTGCATTTGAGGTGATTGGTGAAGTTTCAACAGATGGAACAGGTAGGTAGGTTTATTAGGATTGTTTTTTGGCATTGTTTTACAGGGGTTGCAAGAACTGAAGGCTCGAAAGCAAGTGCACCAGAATCAGTAGCCTGGGCTTCAGAGTAGATGATCCCGGAACATTTGTTAAAACGGCAGGTTCTGTCTCCGGAAAAAAATTGTCGGCAGGTCTGTAAGTACAGCATATCAGCTGGAACATTGTTACCAGTTGAGGCTTTAGTCTCATTTGCCATTGCAAGGGCATTTAGCAGGTCAGCAGATACAACTATGGGTTGGCAATTCATTGGTGGAGAGAAGCTTGTTGATTGTAATAACAAACTTCTTGTTGTCTGGTCCAGCCATCCTGTCTGAAAAGTGAAGTAGAGCTGGAATAATGCTGGTATTTGTGGCTGGTGCTACTGTACTTGGAGGATCCAATTTTGGTGGTTGCTGTCTCTGGACAGGTTATGCAGGTAGGCCTAGGAACTGTTCTGGGCCCAGGGCAAGTTTATCAGCAGCTGGTCTTTGAGTGTAAGCTTTTCCTTGATCTTTAGTTCTGTAATTTCCTCCTCCTTGGGGCAGAGGCGAGAGATGACAGTGTTGTTTGCCACATAGGGTGCATTTCATAGTGTTGCTGGAGCAGTTCTTGTAGTTGTTTCCCAGAGAAAATGCTGCTCCATATTTCAAATATGATCACTTTGCAAGCATTTGCTTGCAGAGTGATCATATTTGAAGCACTTTAAGCATCATCTGAGTTGGTAGATTTTCTGTCATCTGTTCAGATACTGAGATAATGCTAAAGCATTTAAAACCTTTTTTTGTCACGTCTTGTCTTGTTAAGTGGTTTCCAACATCAGTTTTAGTACAAGGCATAGATTTTCTTCCCTTCGGATTACCTGGGCTAATACAGCTTTGAGAAAAGGGTTCTCTTCATTAATATGATGATCTCAGCTTCAGCAGCTAACCACCTGTTGAGATGGTAGACAAAGACTGCCCTTCTGGTCTAGTATTTTTGTGGTAGTGGCGACAAGTTTGTCTCTGCTAGGTGGTGAACTTGTCACCTGCTTGAAAACAGAGTCCCATCTCCCCTCACTCAATTACCGACTGGAGGCCACCCCATAATGGCCATAAAGTGGTGTCAACCCTAGGCAGACTTTCAATGTTTATCTCTGCTCACAAACACACAAATATCTCCTCCCAAATACATGCAGGAAGGAACAAGGAGCACAAGCTTTTCACAAAATATGTACTACTTAGGCCCCACACACAAAACACCAGCATCCCCCCCTGAATATTGAGGACCCTGAGGGTGAACACCAGCATCCCCCCTGAGTATTGAGGACCCTGAGGGTGCACACGCCTCAGGGGGGCTTCGTAGCCTGGTGGATAGCGCGCAGGACTCGTAATTCTGTGGCGCGGGTTCGATTCCCGCACGAGGCAGAAACAAATGGGCAAAAGTTTCTTTCACCCTGAATGCCCCTGTTACCTAGCAGTAAAATAGGTACCTGGGTGTTAGTCAGCTGTCACGGGCTGCTTCCTGGGGGTGGAGGCCTGGTCTAGGACCGGGCTGCTTCCTGGGGGTGGAGGCCTGGTCTAGGACCGGGCCGCGGGGACACTAAAGCCCCGAAATCATCTCGAGATAACCTCAAGATAACGCCCAACAAAATCAGTGGGCCCAGAAGCTTCCACAAGAGAATGTGGGAAATTCACATACAGAGCCAGGTATGTTCAAGAGAATTCGAACACCTCTAGAGATACCTGATCAACCAGGCTGCGAGTCATATGGCAGGCTATGAGCAGCCGCGTCCAACACCCTGGTTGACCAGACAAACCAGGCCGCCTGGTCAGAAACTGGGCCACATGAAAGTTGATCTTCGAAACCACCAAAAAGTAAGTAGGTAGCCAAGGGACCCAAATGGAGACCAAAACAGAATCTATTACATCCAGATTTATTAACTGGATTCAGTTCAAGCAGGAAATCATTTTACAAGAGTACAGCATGTGCCTGAAATGTAGTGCCTAACTAAAATAACTTTGTACAAAAAACAATAAAATTGCAAATTACTTGCACACATAGGTACATTATTTATTTACCAAGTATTGTATTAAAAAAGAGCATAAAGTAGAAATTATTTTTAATGGCACAACCACATATGCTAGATATATAAAACATACCTGTATTGATAAAACACAAGATAAATAATACTCTTATCTATCTTATCTTACCTTTTCTGCTTTGCCAGCTATGAAGGAACTATTTGTAATATTGTTGGTTTGAGCATTTTTTGTTGCATCTTCAACAGCTCCAGTTATTTCATCAATGCCAATGGTTCCTCGTACACGTGGTGCCATCACTAGACTTATGGTGCCTGCCGACAATTACATCAATAACATACTTTAATTATTTCTAGTACAGTAAAAGGCATTCTCATCCAAACTCAACCATTCCAGATACTTAAAAAAACAGCTTGACTGGGTATTTAACTACACTTCAACTTATGATTTGAAAATCAATCAAAGAAGATGGGATACTCGGTGATAGCACTGCCTACAAGACTAAGTTAACTTAATATACATTCAGGAAATAGGGAAAATCTTGGCTCACCATAGTTTACAGCATTAATTTATGTGAAATTAATCAATTTTAGGAGTCGGGCAACTGTTGTGGGGAAGGTTAGTACTGTAGTTGACTTGGAGAAACCTTGGCAGGCCTATATACAGGCTTCCTGTCCCCATCATAAATTTGTATTATAAAAATGAAGCAAATTTAGTTGCACTGGAATATTATGATTTGTCTATCAGATCTTAATTGATACTTTAGTTCCACAGCATCTACCTGCTCTACAGCATCTACCCGCTCTACAGCACCTACCCGCTCTACAGCACCTACCCACTCTACAGCATCTACCTGCTCTACAGCACCTACCTGTTCCACAGCATCTACCCCCTCTACAGCACCTACCTGTTTCACAGCATCTATCCGCTCTACAGTACCTACCTGTTCCACAGCATACATCAAGCACTGTAGTGATGGGTGAAACTTCTGCTACTTCTTGCACGGTTCTGTACAACACCTCGGCTCCTTGTGTGTTAATCTGTAACATCCACATATATTATGATTCTTCTAATTTTATACAATTTGTATACATCCTTGTATATTTTATTTAATGTTAATATCACTAACAGCATTTTATTATCATTACCCTTTCATTCATTTGTATATTTCAATCATGTCTCCTTTTCTCTCTGCCTTTCTAGAGAATGTAAATTAATCTTTCTTAATCTCTCTTCATAAGATATCTTTCTAATGCTGTTTATTAGCTTCATCATCCTTCTCTATACCATCTGAAGAATTTCACAAAAGCTTAACTGTATATGCTAAATGAGGCCTAACAAGGGCCAAGGTAAAGCTATAAAAAATAGCGATACCAGTACATGACTTGTAGAGAATAAGTCACAATTATCTGACTGAAAAACAAATAACCTATCCCACACACCTAAAAATGAGGATGTTTCGGTCCGTCCGTCACCTTCAAGTGAAAACTGAGGAAAGGGTTAAGAAGCCGAGCGGACAGCACGCTGGACTTGTGATCCTGTGGTCCTGGGTTCGATCCCAGGCGCCGGCAAGAAACAATGGGCAGAGTTTCTTTCACCCTATGCCCCTGTTACCTAGCAGTAAAATAGGTACCTGGGTGTTAGTCAGCTGTCACGGGCTGCTTCCTGGGGGTGGAGGCCTGGTCGAGGACCGGGCCACGGGGACACTAAAAGCCCCGAAATCATCTCAAGATAACCATCATAAAAAAAGAGGGGGAGAGGTGAAGGTGGATTTTGGAAATTGTGGAAACTGATCCAAGGCTATCAGAACAAATCTTTGTTCTTGTAAGAGTGTTATAAGAACAAAAATTAAAAAATGCCTGACCAGATATTAAATGCAGAAACAAAATAAATGAAAAGCAGCAACAAAACAGAGAATCAAACTGGGGACATAAGAAATAGGAGACCACAGAGAAACAGACAGCCAAGACAGTTATAAAGATGCTACGAAGACCCGAGTGTTTGCATGGATGCTGTCAGATGGGCAAACTGGAAGTTTGCGAGATCACCTCATGGTTATCACATGTGGCTCAGGAGTGTTGTTTATAGGTGGATCTTCTGTAGTTACTCTGCAGTGAGTTTGTCCAGTGTCTCCTGCTCTGTCATGAGCAGTCCAATGGGATAAGGAGTGATCTTTGCTTTAGGTCCCTTCACTAGAATACTGAATTAGTAAAACTTGCACAGCTATATTAAAAAACACATTGAAGACAAAGTTAAGGAATATTTGTTATTATTTGTTAATCTCGAAGATTTTTTCAAACCTTATCTGCAATGTGGCTACTGTTATTTTTTTTTTGAGGGGGGGGGGAGGGCTTTGTGTATAAATTGTTATGATTCTTATTAAAGTTATCAAACTGTGTAACAACTTATTGTAATGTCACAGCACTCAAAACTTACTTGAAAGAATGAATCTGGTGATATTTGGAACTTTAAATCACAACAGGTCTCGGTAATGTGTTCCTTTCCAGCTATCAATCTATACGGCGCCTGCTCTCGTGTACAGCGGGTATGCTTACTGCAAACACAATTTGTGACTGTTACACAGACATCAAAATACAATATTTCGTGAAGAATAAAAAGTATTAAACCTAGTGAAACGCCCATAGAGTTCATCGCTCAAAAGCTTGACGAGCCAGAACCTCGTGTCGAACTTACAATTCTCGTCAACTTTTGTAATGGTTTTGTCACATAATTATGGGGAAGACAGTGGCGAGAGTACTTCAAGCCACCACTGAGTGACCAGCTTGCAATAATATAAAAATAGAGCATCAAGTGTAATAAAATGCCCCATTTCTGGGTGGTAAATCAGCAGATTCCCTGGCACTATGACATTGGCTAGCTAGGTCAAACTGAATGTGCCAGGATCTTGCTGCCAGTTTGCTAGGAGAGAGGGGTCATGGATTGAGTCAGGTTGGAGCAACCTGAGCCATGATGACCAAACCACACATCAGAAAGTGAAGAAACAGCAGCATTTCAGTCCGCCATGGACAATTATCAAGCGGTGTGAAAATGGCCTGATTATCAAAAGTGAAGTTTGCCACTTTTTGTTGGGCATTTGCCACCACTTGAATAATGTGCCATTACATCATCATCCACTACACCATACAGGATATGCTAATATAACACAATGAGAGAGAGAGATTTTATCAGCCATCATTACAAATAATCCATGATAACAGTTGCCATCAGAGTTAATACATCTTGATTGCAATCATTAAAAGCTATGTTCTACATTAAAGATAATCAAAGATAATACTTACCATGCTTGAAGATAGAGTGAATCCAGTTCACACTCTGATCCTTCCCCTTCAAAGAAATATTTTCGAAGCTCTTCCATAATTTCCTGTATTCCTTCCTCTGGTAGCTGCTGTGGATGGATGTAAACAGTGACCATTTTTTCTGCACTCTCAGTTGACCGCACCATTATACTCCGCCATATCCCACCATCATCAAATTTAAGACAAGCTCTATGGGTAGACTGACGAATAAAATTCTGGAAACTCTGAGGAGAAAAAAATATAATGCATTATCAGATTTCACAAAATACAACAACTACAAAGCCTGAGATTGCTGAATCAATCAGGATAACTGAGAAATTGTCACTGTGATGCGTGTAAAGACTCAAGCAGTCTTGGGCTTAAATGCATAACCAGAAAACGCTTAAGCTCAACAACACTACTAAAACTAATGACTCGTGATGCGAATAGCATAAATTTTACTAATTTTGGAGATTCAGAAGTATCTCTGATGCTTATGAATTCTTGCCAGCAACATGAACAGATGTCTCTAAAACTAAAATAACTTCTAAGGACACAAATCTCATTTTGTAAATATAAACAAAATAATTACAGCAATTTGGGCCACATGGCAACTTTGAGGCAAGGAAACATCTGTCATATCCAAACACAACTTTCCAAACACAGCATCTTTATTGAGACTTTCCTGTGCTATGATTTTCTAGTATTGTGATAGAATGAACATAATATATTTTTCTTTTAACTTTAATCAAACATTATCCACTTTATGAAGTACAAATTATAACATATGCATTTGCTGTATACAATTTAAAGATAATTTTTTTAAATACTCTGGTTATGATTTATTAAAATGCAAAAATAATGCAGTTACAGCTGATATTTTATTTATTAATATATACGATGGAACCTTGGTACTCGAACTTAATTCGTTCCTGAAGACCATTCGAGTAGCAATCTGTATGAGTACTGAATAATTTTTCCTATAAGGAATGATGTAAATTGGATTAATCCATTCCAGACCACAAAAAGTACACACACACACAAACACAAAAAATAAATTATATAAATGTAAATTCATTCTCACTTTACCTGAACTTCGGAGAGTTGATGGCATACGTGGAAGGTGGTGAGGAAGAGGAGGACATGTTATTGTTTGACAGGGGAGTCCCCTACCCTAGAAATGTCAGGTAATTGTGTTTTGTTGGGTTCTTTTTCTATTTCACTCTTGAGACTCGCTGGATGTTTTTCTTACAAGAAACCTCTCCAACGATATTTATTTTTGCCTATATTTTAAAATATTTCTAAAGTGAGAGACACCATTCTCATTCAACAGGTTTATAACATAGTTTGCCATAGCTTTGTCAGGGTGTTATTTTTCAAGACAACTACATTTACCCACTTTTTCACACATTTCTTTTATTATAGAACTAGATTTAAGCATACCAAACTCCATAGCAAGAACAGACACACGGGCACCATTTTCATATGTTGCTACGAGTTCTTTTATCATCTCTGTTGTGGTTCTAACTAATTTCCTTTTCGTTTGGCTCTTATTATTAAGTTTCTTAGGTCCCATGGAGACTTATTTATGCTAAGAATATAAAAAAAATCCAAGACAACACAAGAAAGTTTACAGAGAAGCTTAGTGGGGTTGTGCACTGAACAGTAGCTACTGGGAAACTGACTCGTCTGTTATGCATGTTTACGTTTGAGTGCCAAGTAAATGTTCAACTACCGAGCATTTTTGTTGAAAATACTAATCAAACTCTTATTTATGAAATAATTCTAAGTGTAAAACAAGAGTGGTAAGACAACGTGAAGAGAAGAACCGAGGTTTAACTGACAAAAATGGAATTGTTCTTCCATGAACTAGTATGGAGGAAAGATGACACAATACACAGTTAAGATAGTTACCCGAGCAATGTGTTTATGGCTTTCCCTTATATTGATGAGGTAGGTAGGAGGGATGCACACCATCAGAGGGTCGGTAGGTCGTCCAACAAAAAAACCAACAGTTTTTGGGTTGCCATCAACACCAACTTGGATCCCAAACTCATCTTTGTTGCGATAGGCTATCAATTCAGGCTGTTAATATGGTAAATGAACATTTAAAAAAAAATACATGCCAATTTTATATATAAAACTCGGATCACATTAAAATTAGCATCAAAATATACCTTATTCATAAAACTAAATAGAACTTTGGAAGGTTACTTTAAAAATACTGCTTAAATATTTCAATTATCATTAATATATTTCCTGTTTAAAACAATTACTAATCATTTCTCAGCCCTTCTATTGTCTCCATCCATGAGAGATATAATTTACCTATCTGAATATTTGGTGTAAATTTAATCTACAAATATTTAATAGGCACCGCCTAAGGATCTATGGCTGTGCAATGTGAGGCCTCCACAATAATCCCTTGACCAGCAATTGCAAAATACACTCATGAAGCATTACTACCATTAATCCTCACACTGGTATTGATCTGGTCTTTAATTTTATTTTTGCACCTTCTCTTGAAATAACTTGTTGAATGTTCAATTTTTTCCCATATGAGCATCACTCATTTTCCTGATGTATTCAATCCCCTCTTTCTGCATTGTCAAGTGGGATTTAAATTCATTCATTCATTCACTCACTGAAAACTTGAGCTTAATTTTAAACTTAACACTTTATACTCTCGCGCCCTGGGACGTGCGCTCCGTTTGTACGCATGAACAACTACTGGTGGTGCAGTCGAGCGTGCAGCGACACCAAAATGTGTATACTCGTTTCAGTTTTCTCACCTTAATTCTCGTGCTACGTCGTTCGTTTTGGTATCATTGGGTTTACAATAGAATTCTCTACAGGTGTATATGCATATAATGTCCAAAAGCCTGCCGTGACTCCCCACAGCAAAGCCTAAAGTCAGCAAAAGTTACCCGTGAGCGCACAAAATCAGTAAAATGTGTATACTCATTTCAGTTTTCTCACCTAATTCTCGTGCTACATCATTCGTTTTGGTATCACTGTGTTCGCAATTAAATTCCCTGCAGGTGTATATGCATATATTGTCCAAAAGCCCAGCATGACTCCCCTTAGCAAAGCCTAAAGTTACCCATGAATGAGCAGCAATTGGCACACCCACAATCTAATGTGTATACTCGTTCAGTTTGATAACAAATTTTCGTGTTACGTCGCTTGTTTTGATATCAAATTGTTCGCAATATAAAAGACGTGTATTTTAAAACTAGTCCCATAATAATAAAGCAATAAATGAAATTTTAACAAATATTTTAAATTTTGGACACACACATCATCATCACAAAATTATTTGTATCTTTCCAGTGTTCTGACATCACGTTTCGTGTTAAATCTTTCATTTTGGTATCAAATTGTTTGCAATCTAAAGGCACGCATTATAAAACTACATAGTCCCATAATAATAGCACAATAAATAGAATTTTAACAAATATTTTAAAATTTGGATCAAATATGTATTTATAATCTTTCCAGTGTTCTGACATCAATTTTCGTGTTACATCTTTCATTTGGGTATCAAATTGTGTGCACTCTAAAGGCGCTCATTTTTAAACTACTCACAGATTGATCGGATAAAATTTTAATTTTTAACAAGTATTGCTACAACAATCAACAATTATCACCAGATTCATAATATTTGCTTTACTGTTCAGGGTGAATAGTGTTTACTGATTTGTTATGCTAAATGCATTACAAGTGGAGCTTAAGTCTTGAGCCGAGAGTCAAGCCTGGGAGTAAATGAAAACTAACTGGGGGCAGTTAGTAACTGGATAAACAAATAATGTGCTTTATTATATTATAGATGTACAGTAGGTGCATCAACCATCTTAACCATTCCACTTTGTTCTGAACACACATGAACCTTTAACAATGCAAAACACCACCCAAGGGCACACAAAGATGCAGAAGACCTGGAACATCCACAAGATACCCAGCTGCCGGGACCAGTTCAACCACAAAAACCCCTGCCCCCAATGAACGGGCCAAGACATATGAGCAAAGATCAGCCTATGGAAAGAACAAGGGTAAACCACAGGCTGGCTAGAGCATAAGACACTGCGGACGACCCGAGATACAAAAGCCCTGGAAGAGAGAACCAGGAAAACCAGAGCGAACCACAGAAAGAACACAAAAACAGAATCGGTTACACGAAGGCAGAGGAATAAAGCCACCACTTGACACAGCACACAATGCACCCCACCGCAGAAACAACCAAGCATCCACCACCAGAGGGCCCCACCAGAAGCTAACAAACACATTCCCAGCCAGAAAAGCAGGAGCCGGCAGCAACCCAACAAAGCACCCACAAAGGTCAAAAGAACAAAAAACCCTGGCACCGAAGGTGCTCAAGAAACACCCTCAACTGGCAACCAGAAGCCAGAGAAAGCAAAAGAACGCTCACCGAAAAATATCAGGACTGCAGGGACCACCGGAAACAGAATGGGTTAAAGAAAATAAAGAACCCCGTCAAGGGACCAGGCAGGCTCGGGTGGCGCAGGAGCAGGCCAAAGGTTAAACAATGTGGGAGAAAGCATGCAAAACTAGACTGAAGAAGCGAAGCCGAATGCAAACCGGAGTGGCTCCACCAATGCTGCAATAGGAGGAGGCTACAGTATATGACAGAAGAAGCCGAACAAAGGAAAGCCAAGAAAGAACAGAACAACCTATCAGAAACTGAGGAGCAGTGACGAAGGAACAAAATGGCGGAAGGCATGGTAAGCCCGAAAAACTCCCAAAAGTGTCAGAAATGAAAGCCAGGAACTTCCAGGGACCTAACCGGAAAAACCACCAACCAGGTAGAATTGTAGCAACAACCAGACATGTGAGCTACAGACCCACCACTGCATGTCGGGTAGGTTGTGCAGAATACAGTGCGACCTCCTATCAAGAAACACTCCTGGCCTGAGGAAAGACAGACAGTCAAAGACAACTGGCTTACCTGAAGGGCAAGCACCACCACAAGCAAGAAGGCTCCCTAAGGGAGTATATCCCAAACACAACAGGGAAGATAACCCTGGCTGCACAAGGGCAGCACTTAAGGAACACTATGGGAAGGGAACCCTGAGCATATGCAGCTCCAAGTACACTAATCTCCTGGCTCACGCTGCAGAAATGTGCACAAGAACAGCATTAAGGTCAAATACCACTTAGTAAAGCAATCTGAGAGGGCAACCAGCACCATCTACACCACTATAAGAACTGGTGGTGGAGCAGCTGGCTGACACAGTCTACCTCCCTCCCTCTCAAATGAGGAGTGGGCAAAATTGCTCGCGTTAGTTTCACAAATTTTCTAGCATTTATTTGGATTGTTGGGAGAGGGTTTTTTTGGCGGTTTTGTGGATGTGGTCTCATTTCTAACTAAGCAGTAGTCTGTTTTGTTTCACTGACTTTGTAGATGTCTTTCCTTGATGGTGCCAGATATGAACAGTTTTACATGAAAGGTTTTCATAGTGCCACTGTTCTTTGGTCACTTTTTTCCATAGCTTGAATCTATGGCCTTTTCTTTTTGAAGTTACATGGTCAGCTGTTGGCTCTCTGTCTACTGTTGGCTCTCTGTCTACTGTTGGCTCTCTGTCAACTGTTGGCTCTCTGTCAACTGTTGGCTCTCTGTCAACTGTTGGCTCTCTGTCAACTGTTGGCTCTCTGTCAACTGTTGGCTCTCTGTCAACTGTTGGCTCTCTGTCAACTGTTGACTCTCTGTCAACTGTGTCAATTCATATCACTATTTTGTATGTGGTGATCATATTGTCTTTGTTTTCCATTCTATCTACAAGCTTAGCATACAGTATGTCTACTGAGCTAGTTGTACTAATTTTGAATGAACATATTTTTAACAAATACTATGAAAATGCAAAAACCATGATATTGCCAAACCTGCATAAAACCAAGTCAGTGAATAGGAAGGATCTGCTCTATTTATACCTGCAAATTACCTAAAGAAAAAAGAACAATGATAATGCCACTTACTGACGGTCTGGGTGATTCTAGCTGACAAGCAAGCCCCCTCGTGGTCCTTACAATTGGTGCTTTGTAATCACCAAGCCGTTTGGTCAAGAATTTTACTATCTTGCACATTTGTTGCTCTTTTATCTTAAGTTGCTTCAAGTATGCCTTCTGGAATATTCAAACAAGATCACAAGAGAGTTCTTGCTGAAATAAATTGCAAAAAGTTTTCTAAATATATTAACATTATGAGAATAAACAAAATTTTGATTAGTTCCCCACTAAATTATTAAATGGAGAGATAAGGTACAGAAAATTGTAACTAAAATAAATTTGTTAATTTTTACTTTAGGTTGCCAGAAACTGATTAACTATTCGAGTGAAAATGAATACTATAAATCAAACATACTAGAAAAATAATTAAAACTGAATGGGTAGAATACCTGGAATAAAATGACAAAGTAACAGACAGTATGGCTTTCAAACAGGAAGATCCTGTGTAACAAATCCAGCCCATGCTCTGAAAATGAAAGTACAGTACTGTACATATAGTAATGATGTGGTCCAAAGTATAAATGTTATAATGGACCTCCAGAAAGTAGACTTTTGTATTATTGAATTTTGACAAACCAGAAAAGCTTTATATTTATGTTGCTAATAAGACTTAAATCTAATGTAACCATCCTAGGCCTAATACATGCTATCCGAGGCCTAATAGAGTACATATCGTCTATGTGCTATTCTAGGCCTTGGAATATTTAAGTTTGGCTTTTAGCTTTATTTCTCCAGGCTATATAAATAGAAATGGACAGTGGCTGAATGGGGCTCCATTACTACATATTGGTACTTTCAACTGCAGTTAAAGGATGGGTAAAATCACAGTTCAGGAGGATGGGTAGAACAAATCTAATTATTATGAGAGCCAAGGAGTTCGTACAGAAAAGACAGTTGGGCTGACTACAGTTATCGGGACCTAAAACAAGACCGAGTCCCATAGAAGAAGTTGTTCTGGAAGCTGGAACATGCTGGAGGGGTGAACAGGAAGACTTTTGATATGGATTAAAAATATCCTGACAGAAAAATGAGGGCAATGTATAAGACTGGAGAATTGTTACTAGTGGAGTACCACAGGCTTCAGTTCTAGCACCAGTTGTGTTTACTGTCTATATAAAAGATCTACCAGAAGAAATACTGAATTATATAAATATGTTTGCTGATGATACAAAGCTAATATGGAAGATAAGAAACTTAGATGATTCTTATATACAGTATATGTATACAGTATATATATATATTTGTTCTAATATATATGAATATGTAAATGGGATATCAAAGAATAAACAGATACACATTGTCTGGGCAGCACTGGGGTGTCAGAACAATAGCTCCAACAAGCTAAGGAGGTAGACAGTACAGAAAAAAAGGTAACAGAAATAAAAAAAAAGAGTCTGCATAGCTTCCACCCAAGCGTCTGCATAGCTTTTCGGCCACCCAAAGGGTGGCTGAAAAACCGAGCAGTAAATCGGCCTGGCAGAGGCAGGTCCCAAGGAACTTGTGAAAGGTGGCCCCAAGCTCCAGGGGCAGTACTTACAGGGCACCTAGGGACAATAACCCTAGGCACATGCAGCCCAAGTACTGTAGAATAACTCCTGGCTCGCGCAACTCCTGGAGGACAGTCACCACACTCAAAGCACAGTGCTGAAAATCACTGGAGCAAGAGCACATGACCTCAGTCTCTAGCATCAGCCTTAGAACTGAAGGGTGGAGAGCCGGCGCGGGGATCTGGGGCTCCCCCTTCACCTCCCGGGGAGGGGGGGGGGAGCTGCACAGACAGCGGCGCGGCGACATGTGACGTCATGCTCATTTGCTCGTTTCTCTTTGGGAAGTCCTATCTACTTTTTCGGATTTTGATAGCAATTTTCACCGGAATAGGGGTTTGTTTTGGGACGCTTACCTTTCTGGGTGCCTAACCCGGTCGATGGCAGACATAGAATGCTTCCAACCACACGGGGGGTTTCTAGACGGCCATTGCTCCTCATGCCTCTTTGAGGGGGCCAGGTTCTCACTCATGGTCCCCGGTAGGCCCACAGAACTCCATACACATGACTGATGCCAAAGTCTGACATTAGCATATCAGCCTGGATAGCTCCAGGAAGCCGAAGGGGCTCCCCCCAGAAAACTATGATGTACTGATAGCAGGGAAGGCCAAGACAAATACAGAAAGTTTTTTTTTTAGATACAGTATAGTAAACACACACTAAAATGAGAATTATGCCACTGAATAATGAAGAAGGTGAATTAACTGATGATAAAGAAATGAGTGATATTCTAAATAAGTACTTTGTCTATTTACTAAAGAAGAACATGATATATTATCAACAGTTGAACAGCGCTATGCAGTTAGTGAAAAGGACAAGTTGACTAATTTTGTGGTTACGTACCAGGGAGGGAGTTATTAAACAAATATAATAATTTAATCCAAAGTCTTTAGACCAGGAAAAGTATTTCCAAAGATCCTTAAGAAATGCAAAGATGAACATTGTTAATCCTTGCCTCGCATAATTATTAAATCATTAATCAAGCAAGGCACCGGAATTATGGAAGTTACAAATGTGATGCTGATTTTAAATGGATATTAATAACTTCCATAAACTATCAGTCAATTTACTTAACTTCTATTGAGGGAAAATGTTAGATGCAATATTTGGAAATGCCATTCACAGACATCTTGAAAAATACATAAAGAACTCACAGCATGGTTTTACTAAGGGTTGTTTGTGCTTTAATAAATGTACAGTACTCTCAATCTTATCCTGCAAAACTGAAGCAGTTGATATGCAACACGATATATCTTGATAACACAAAGCCTTTAATAAAACCACAAAGAAGACATGTATAGTACTGTACTCCACATTTATAACCACATGAAATATGTAATAAGCATCTTCCCAAATGCTTTTTGGAATTACAGTATTTCTGATAGTGACAAAATACTGTAATGAAGTTATTACCTGGCAGAGTGGAGTGACGAGCTGAGAAAGGTGCTCATACTGGTCCTCAGGAGTAATGGGCTTTAATAATGGGCCATTCCTCACTGGCTAGAATACAAGAGATAATGATACTGTTACCTGTAATTATTACTAGGTTTAAAAACACATTACAAAGAGTGCAAGAAAAACTCTTCCACAATAATTTCAGCTGCAACCAATCAAAAAAGGTATCCCCAATCCTTATGCCAGGAAACTCTTCCAACATGGGCATACAGAGCAAGAGAATGTGAGAGATGAGAGTATGCATGTGGGGTACATGGTAAACTGGAGAAGACAGAAGGCTATACTAAGTACTGTATAAGTCTTTTGTCACATTACCAGTGCTACAATAGTGCTTGGCACTTACATCAAAAGTAAGCAGTGCCAAGTCAACATGAGGAAGTAATGTGTGCGTTTCCAAGACGAAAACTGTGGTAACATGCCATCACAGAAATATCAGTCAGGTCATTCCAGGAAGATGTCTTCAAGGTCTACGGAATAAGCTTTTGTAACACGAAAGGTACTCTCCATTAAACATTTTAGAATTTTCACAAACCTTGAAGAATTCTTCCTGTGACGACCAAACCAATGTTTCTGTGATGGCGTGTCACCACCGTTTCCCTTCTCGGAAATGTGCTCAACAGTTCCTCAAATCGACTACACCCATCAATTCACTTATTTCCTTATTTTCACAGCCTGTTTTCTTTAAAGCAAAAATCTTAATATTGGTTTCTTTGCTTAGTTCCTTGGTAAGTGCCATAATAACAATGTTATACCACAGAAGCCACTAACAAGTGCAAAAAACAATGGACGGCCATGGAGCAAAATGCAGCACACATCCATTCATGATGACAGCCAGGAAGCAGTCATCATGGCTCTGGTATTGTGGTCACCCCAGAGAGCTAACATCTGCCATGACATCATGTAGCTGCTGTATACTTCTGTCAAAAATCTTTCACTCACAAAACCATTATTCTTTTTCTGCCATAAGTACGCAGCACCTTGCTCGAGGTACAGTACCGCATATTTTTGACGCGTAGTGTCAACACAAAATTACCATGGGACTAGAGCTGATCCCCAAACATGTATATGTTGAATAAACCTGTAACACACAACATTTAGATTTATATATTTACTATACCATGATATTTTTTATATGGTCCTTGGATTTGGGTTTGTGTGCACATTTTTTTGAGATCTCTGTGTGCTGCTGCTTCTGGATAGTCTCCTCCTCCAATTTATGCAGCTCATCCACCATTAATTCGAATTGTTCACTATTTGTTTGCTCATTTGGCGATGCACTATCTCTTCTTAGCCTGGAAAGAATATAGGTTTTGTTTTACTTTTTTAAAATTCATTTAACAGTATAGTACATTATAATTTATCATATACTAGAAGGGGTACCCTGCAGTGCCTATCACCTTCTCTCCCTCCCTCACCATTCTCTCTCTCTCTCTCCTCCTCTCCTATCCCTTTATTTCTCCTCCCTCCCAGTCTCTCTCTCTCTTCAATATTACTTAAAAATACTATAAGAACACTTCACACATCAAGGATGATCGGCAGACATTAACATATACAGTGTAATCCATAAAGTCTAAGGACAAAAACCATATAATCAAAGTTTATTTAAGGTTTAATTAATTAAAGGTAAGCATTATGATATTTTTGTTAATTTTTATGTGATTAGCACATAAGGTCCAATATGGTAAAAATAACAAAATAAAAGATTAACCATATTATAATAATTCAGAATCGAGTCATAATGGTACAGTATCGAGAGATTTTTCTCTCAATATACAGTACAGTACTTTTGTTTTGGCACATGTGGCACTCTTTTTTTTTTTTCTTTAATGCCAATACTGATCCACCCATGTTGGGAATGTACCCAACAGCAATTACTGGTATTAACTAGGTGAACCTCCCAACTACTTCCAAGATATAATAGAACTCATGAACTTCACACCAGAAATATATAAATCTTTGATATTCCCAGAGTCAGATTAAATTTATATAAACATGGTAGGCAAATAAAAGAACCAAATACTGTATATAGAACAATATAAATATCTCTAATGAATTACAAAATTTCCCATCCTGTACTTTATTCAGAAGTAGAACAACGAAGAACCAAATTTCATCTTAATACAATCCCACCCTGTGCTTATCTCACACAGTATCTTATGCTACTAACTCGCTTAGTATTTTATTATCTAGAAATGAAACCAATATAAAATTATTTTTATTACTACTTTATTTTGATGTAGTCATTATGTGAATCCAATTTCTGTCATCATGTACCTATTATTACATATATTTTTTATTAAATATTCCTCCTCCTTTGTATGCTTAAAGACCTGCCCAAAACACTATGCGTGTTAGTGTCTTTACAAGAACGTATCATTTACTAATGTGTATACAGTACTTTAACAACCAATTGTACCTTCTTGTATATCAATCCATCAATAAATAAATTTGTGTGGAGCTATCTCAGTCTGACTAGCTATAGGGAGCCACTGTTGGCCCCTCCAGAAATGACTAGTAGTAACAAATTGTATAGGTACTGCCAATCATCTTAACTCCAAATATTTAAGTTTTAATGTGACAAACATCCATTGGTGAATCGTCCTGCACATGACAACCTGTTTTAATTAAAATGGGGCCCCCGAGAATAATCATTCTGCATCATACTCTTTAATTTTTGTCAGGGATAGGATTAATTAATTAATTAATTAATTAATATATATATATATATATATATATATATATATATATATATATATATATATATATATATATATATATATATACACATATACACATATATATATACACAACACACACACACATTTATACAATTTGCACAATGTTTCGAACCTCCATGGTTCATTCTCAAGTGAAAATAAATTACAGAACTCGTTGATTTATACCCGTACGGGGTCAGGTGATAAGACAAGTACAATAAAGGTAAAAACAAGGGGATACATAGGGGATAAATGGGGGACGAAGCACATAAGAACATAAGAATAAAGGTAACTGCAGAAGGCATATTGGCCCATACGAGGCAGCTCCTATCTATAACCACTTGATCCCACTACATACAAAGATTAATCAGGTGTAATTGGCCCTGTTATGTTGAAGTGTGTCTTCTGTGTTGGCATCGTTATGTTCTGGTCTTGTCCTTACTCTTATGGTGGGTAGAGTAAATAGTTCCGTGATTTGGGTGTTCATGGTAGGTTGTTCTATTCTTATGTGAATTGCTTCAACTCTTGAAGCAATTACTCTTGCCCCCTGTTACCTAGCAGTAAATAGGTACCTGGGAGTTAGACAGCTGCTACGGGCTACTTCCTGGGGTAGTGTAACAAAAAGGAGGCCTGATCGAGGATCGGGCCGCAGGGACGCTAAGCCCCGAAATCCTTTCAAGATAACCTCAAGATAACCAAGATAGCATGTGTGAGTCGAGAACAAAGCCAACTGTACTACAAGACCCTACAACAAACCTAACTTAATCTACTGTAACATTATGTAACCTTAACTCTCAAAGCCTAATCAAACTAAAATAGTATACTTTTGTTCTTCTGGTGAACTCTCTGTGGGACGTCACCGACATAATTGGGATGCCTTAGGAATCTTCTCAGATACTACTGAATTATAATGTTGCCACCACCATATGAGCTGCAGGCAATGTTATGTTCATTACAGCACAGCCTATGAGTGCTCTCCACTCTCACCTGCAATATAATTCATAATAATAATAATAATTTGCTGTGTTGGGGACAGGAAGCCAGAGTGTATTCATACATGTTAGGCTTTTATTGACGTCCCTCCCCTACCCCAGGCCAAATTACTGACCCCGCCAAGGATGCAACCCCACAGCAAGCTGACTAACTCACTCCTGAGTATGTACTTGCTGCTATGTGAACAGATACATTAGGGTAAAGGAAATGTTCCCAACCATTTCTGTCCCGCCCCGAATTCAATATAACTCACACATCAAACACACAAAATAATAATAATTATTGCAGGCGATGAGTCACAATAACGTGGCTGAAGAATGTTGACCAGATCACACACTAGAAGGTGAAGGGACGGCGACGTTTCGGTCCGTCCTGGACCATTCTCAAGTCGATTGGACCATTCACAATCGACTTGAGAATGGTCCAGGGCGGACCGAAACGTCGTTGTCCCTTCACTTTGAATAGTGAAGGTCTTTCTAGTGTGGTCTGGTCAATAATAATTATTATTATGATTATTATACCTGCCAGCTTGACTTCTAATTCCTCTACAACTTAATATTGAAGACAAACGGCAGCGGCTCCCAATCATCATCCTTATATTGCGTGTAGTTTCCTTGAAGGTTGTCTCCTCCCGAGGGCTCCACGGGTCGTCGGGTTTGAGGACTGAGTAACGAGGCACTGGTGATGTATGTTGTTGTGACGACGTCGGACCCTCGCTTGTCGCCCCGTGTCAGCTTTTACATTTTCTTTGATTGGCAAAGTTTGGAGTACTTAAATTAAATTAAAAATGTATTTTGTGTGTATATGTCAGTTACTTACTTTAGAACCTGTACTTGAGGTCGATCTCGAACCCATTGTTGATGTGACGACTTATATTGAATTTTGTAACTAGCTCATCAAGATTGTAACTTGCTTATCTAAATGAATTGTGGGGTTCAGTCCCTGAGCCCATTATGTGCCTCTGTAACCCTTTCCACTACCGCCCACAAGATGGGTATGGGTGCATAATAAATGAACTAAACTAAAAACTATTTAAACACTTCATAAAAGTGAAAAAATGTAAGTAGGTAATTATCAAAAGAAGGCATCAAACTGGGAAGGCTATGTAGCACAATTAAATGTGCGGAATAATCAGAGGACGCTAAATATTACCAAGGATGCCAATACGAGAACAGAAACGCATAAGGCGAACGACATCAAAAGCATTCAATTCACCAAGAATTCTATCAAGGGACAAGCGACCGTGAGGGATGGTCGGAAAGCAAGATACACGCTCGTCCTAGAAGTCGGGACATTCAACTAGGATATGCACGACCGTAAGAGGGACAAGGTAATTTGGACAATAAGGAGCAGGGCGGTGCTCCATTAAGTGACTATGAGTTAAGCGCCTATGGCCAATATGCAACCTCGCCTGAGCCGTTTCCCACCACCAGTTCATGTAGTAGGAGGAAGGCCATGAGGACACACTACTCTTTAAGAGAACACAGCTTGTTACCACTAACAGAAGACCAACAATCCTGTCAACGGGTAAGGATGGAGGAATGAATAACTAGGTAAAAGCCGGAATAAGGGCTTAACAAGAGATGAGACAAGAGCGCACAGCTTCCCTAGTGGTAGTGTCTGTGTTCCGAACCTTAATGGAATCTGACCCATATATCAATCAGGTCAACCCATGTGTTGCGTTTCCAAAAGGGTCGCCCATGTTAGAATCGGTGAACGCCCTAGTAATATTGTTGAAAACATCTTAATAACTTATTAAACCAAAGGTCTTTTTATGTCAGAAGAACGGCAGAAACTGGATCTATATATGAAAACTCTTTCAGGACAAAATTTAAAGTAAAACTAAAGATATTTGTAGTTGTATAAAAGTTGCATTTTTCATTTTATTTTTTATTTTTATTTATTTTTATTTATGCATATACAAGAATGTACATAAGGATTGTGAGGATACAAATATGGTAATTACAGTCTTGTAAAGCCACTAGCACGCGCAGCGTTTCAGGCAGAAATGGTCACTGCTTGCTTGACGCAAGCGGGGATGTTTCTGGCGGGGGAGAAGGAAACAATTGCGCAGCGCGTCCCGCGGCGTTGCGCGGGCAGTTTGGGGCCGTATAAATACGGGCGCTCAATGGGGCTCTGCCACCATTTGGTCACCACTTGGTCCGGGAGACATCTCCCGTCACGCAGGGTGCACTTGCACCTCCACAGATCTCCAGTATCAGCTCTTGATACTGGTGATGGCTCGAAAGGGCCACCACTTACGAGCTATTCATGCCCGTGCCATCTTTTGGGTGGCTTCATCTTCATCTTCTTCATCTGTTTAAAACACGGGAGACATCTCCCGTCACGCTGGGTGCAGTCGCACCTCCACAGATCTCCAGTATCATCTATTGATACTGGTGATGGCTCAAAAGGGCCACCACTTACCAATTCATGCCCGTGCCACCTATTGGGTGGCTTCATCTTCATCTTAACACATTCACAAGGGAGACATCTCCCATCATGCAGGGTGCATTCGCACCTCCACAGATCTCCAGTATCAGCTCTTGATACTGGTAAATTATGGCTTAAAATGGCCACCACTTACGGGCTATTCATGCCCGTGCCACCTTTTGGGTGGCTTAATCTTCATCATCATCATCATCGGGGCTCTGCCCTCACTCCGCCTGCCCTCGCCGCCGCAATCGGTCGTAGAGCCGGAAATCGGTCTACGGTCGGTCGGTCGTACGGTTCATCGGTCGTAGAGCCGGAAATCCGCAATATTCATCTCAGAACAATGCTTATTTCACGCAGAATCGTTAATAAACGTAAGATTTTTATACGTCTCAAGAAAGATAGAAACATAATTTTCATTTTAAATTCCTTACCATGGGCATATTTGTATTTAAAGCGAAGATACGTGTATTTTTCTAATCGGCGAGCTCCGATCCCGCACAGATCGAGCAACGGAGTAACTCTCTCTCAGAACAATGCTTATTTCACGTAAATTCGTAATAAACGCAAATGTTTTTATATGTGTTGAGAAAGATAGAAATATAAGCTTCATTTTAAATACTTTACCATAGATATATATAAAGTTCTAATGAAGATACATGTGTTTTAATAATCGCCGAGCTCCGACCCCGCACAGACTGATCGACAGAGCAACTCTTTTTTTTTTTTTTTTTTTGAGATATATACAAGAGTATATAGATGCTCTCTCAGAACAATGCTTATTTCACGTAAATTCATTAATAAACACATATGTTTTATATGTCTCAAGAAAGATAGAAACATAAGCTTCATTTTAAATACTTTAACATAGACATATATAAAGCTCAAGTGAAGATACATCCGTTTTTATAGTGGCATTCAGTAGCTTGTCGGTCATGGAATGCATAAGCCTACGCACTTGCCAATATAGTGTGTAATTAACAAAGATACGCTTATAAAGCCTAAAATATTATATGCCTTCAGAAAGACAGAGATATGCTCGTTATTGTGAGTGCACCAAAGGAAATATATCTTGTTGGAGGACAAAGATATATCAATTCTAAAATAAGTTTCGACTCTCGCTCGGCCTAGAGATAGCGCGACTCTCGCCCCATCTATTGGAGATTCTGTTCAACTAATGACCCAAAGCTACTCAAAGCCTCCTAGCATTACTTAAATAATGAAGAAATATGGTATATTTATTCACTATAATGTTGGTGCTTAATGCAGAACACGAGAAAACATATATTTACTATAAAATAATATACTTCCATTATGAAATAAGTAAATATGTGGCCTCATAGGAAGTCAACGGTCCAGGTGTCAATGTTGTGGAGCGACTTATCCAAGATATATTGTTGTCTGGAAAGTGTTTGTTGGCATATCTACCTTCTGTACACAGTGATCCAGTCGTCGCACTTCTCTCCTTAAATGATCGCAAATTTAGTTTATTATATTAACAAGTAGAATACGTATTTCTAATAATATCTAACATAACTAGCCAGAAAATATTTAAGACTTATTGAAAAATACATGTCTGGAAGTTAAATGGACTTCATAGAACAATAGTGTTGGTCTATACTAATCGTTATTCGTTAGTATGCGTTCGCTACTTAAAACATTTACTGTACTGATGTAAAATCTCCCATGTCTCTTCGCACATGGAACACCGAACCTTACACACTCTCTGATATATTGTTTAATTAATAGAGATTCACTAATAAAGCTTATAATTGTATATGTTATCAAAAAGGCATAGATAAAGTCGTTCTTACGTTTTAGTCACAGAGATTAGATATTAGTAAAGTTCATTTTATTCAGGAAAGTACATAAATAGTCGATTTACAAACATAATATTGGATTTATAGATAGAGCTAGTACATACAATACCTAAAGCCACTAGTACGCATAGCGTTTCGGGCATATTATTGAGAGAGGAAAGATATTTATATTTAAACAATTTTTTTTTTTACCGACGCTCTCCCTATTGATGAGAACTACAACCTAATGAAGATAAATGTTAATTTTATGTAGATACTGTAATAAACGAAAGTTTTTAATGTCATCAGAGAAGCAGAAATATAGGCAAATTTTAAATCCCTTGTCATAAATATAACTGAAGTGAAAGCAAAGATATATGCATTTTGATAGTTACAAAGACAGCTCTTTAACACGGGTGGAACACGAACAAGGGGAACTTAGTACCCAAATGAGCCACAGAGATATTAGAAAGAATTTTTTCAGTGTCAGAGTAGTTAACAAATGGAATGTATTAAGCAGTGATGTGGTGGAGGCTGACTCCATACACAATTTCAAATGTAGATGTGATAGAGCCCAATAGGCTCAGGAACCTGTACACCTGTTGATTGACGGTTGAGAGTCGGGACCAAAGAACCAAAGCTCAACCCCTGCAAGCACAAATTAGGTGAATACAGCTGAGGGGCGGGACCAAACAGCTGAAGCTCAATTCCCTACGCATAACTAGGCGAGTCCATAGGAATTACCGTTTGTCCTGGCGCCATCTATGTTTTGACAGCAGTACTATTAATGTTCCCACGTTAGATGATCGCTATACGGGTGTCACGGTCAGTTGCTCTTCTATATATGTTTATTGACAACGTAAGTGATTTGAGGCAATTTGCGGCCAGAGTGAAATAGTATCCACGCGGTGAGTGATGGAGGAGGATATATACTGCTGTGTACTCGACCAGCGGGTGAGAGGTAAGTTATATCGAACAATTATGGGGAATAGATGGGTTATTTTAAGCGTAGAATGTCAGGTAACCGGTAACTACACAGATGGGGTAGTGTTTTTTTAAGTCTTTATTTACTAAAGTGGAACATTACATTATGCCTTTAGCTGAACAAGTCGACTGGTGGGGGAAGTAGACGGGTTTTATGAAAGTATTTTACCTAAATATTTGTATTTGGTTAACTAGTTCAGCCGTTACCAGGGAGGGTGTTCCTTTAATCTAATCTAAAAATTCTAGCCGGACAAAGTGATTAAATAAATTGAATAGAACGAAGTGGTTTGCCAGGGTGCTTAACATTTAGTTTAGTTCACTTACTATGCAGCCCATGCTTAAAGAATGCAAGTTTATCATATTGAATTTACCGTAGTTTTACTGCATTTAATATACCGTTTTTACCCTATTTAATTATGTCTGGTAAAGGCCGGTCATGGAAAGTTCCTAATATAGCAAGTTTTAAAGGAAAAGTTTGAGTTAAC